TGAAGGGGAAAGATATCTATGATGAGTTAAGGATTTTTTTGGGTGAATGTGCTCCTTCTTATGCCACAGTAAAAAACTGGATGGCTGAGTTCAAACGCGGTCGTACATGTGTCCAAGACGAAGCCCGCCCCGGACGTCCAAAAAGCGTCACGACTCTGGAAATAGTCGTGAAAGTACATGACATGGTTTTAGCAGATAAAATATATATAAAAATAGATGGATAGATAGATAAATCATTTATTCCCATCAGTACAGCACACAAATTTAAGTAAACAAATAGAAGAATTAATAACTAAATATGTAACTGTATGCCGCAAGGACAAAAAGAGGCAAAAACTCAGCGATACCTTTGCTCTGAGAGCAAAGCACTGGTTTTCAGTTCTGCCTAGAAAGCGCGTAACGTGGAACGACATTGACGTGATTAAGTGTCGCCGCACACAGACCACCGACCACAACCACAAAACGCCGCCACCGGCATATTTCTTGTAGTTTTCATACATTTTATATGGACTCGCCACACACGGTACGCCGCGCCGGTGGCCGCCACACACTACAAATCGTCGTTGCTCGCTTCTTGTGGCCCGCACCAGCCACTTAATGCGCCGATACAAAACGCCGCCACACGTCACTCGCGCGATTCCCCACCCCTCTCTCCCTTGCCTTAGTCGGCCGCTCACGCGCATCAGCCACTTTAGTAGCCGCTTCTAGCTTCTCGTGGCCGGGTTTTTGTGGCTGTGGCGTGTGGCCCGTGTGCGGCGATACTAATACAAATAGATTGATTATATTGGATTACCGTCAGAGCAAAGTAAAAAATAGGTCCAGAAGAAGAAATATACCCAACTAGCGGCCAAAATCCTTTCTTAGCGGATGCCTACGTCATAACATCTACCTGCATGCCAAATTTTAGCCCGATCCGTCCAGTGGTTTGGGCTGTGCGTTGATAGATCACTATGTCAGTCAGTCACCTTTGAGTTTATATATATAGATATCCTTCAACCAAAAATTGGTGGGGTGCATCTTTGTGCATTGCACAATCTGTACACGGCAAAATTTCGCTGTCTGTAGAAGCACCCAGTTTACTTGTGTAGAACCAACTTGTGGGCACCCTATCTGGGACCATATTGCGTTTCCACCTCAAGCCGCTACCTGCCCGCTTGACCTTATTTGAACTGTATTTTTTATTGCATTTCGTACATACATAACAGTTTCTGAAGTTTTGTTAATAGGGTATTTGACAGTATTATAAATAAAGTGGCAATTGTTAGCATCTGTATTTAGCATGAATATTGGCAGGAGTTTTTACTACTTTTACAGAAAAAAATAATCCATAATCTACTAAAAACACACGATAAAAATAATAGTTTTCTTGTCTATTGTCACGTGACCCAATACGCTTTGGATTGGTGGAGCCTAAAATGACGTCACACGCAAGTAAACTTCCGGTTAAAGTGACATTTGATTGTATGGTTTGACGTTTTAATGACAGTCGTGTGACGTCACACACCAGTAAAGCTGGGAACATATTATCGGACGCGTCCGTAAGCCGCGGCTGATGGACGCGACTTAAAAATGTGCACGGTTGTCCGGACGATGCGTCCTCGGACATCTGGCCAGCATTCCACGAAGAATTTTCAGCTGGAAAACATGTCAAGCAGCGATAGTGAGGACGATTATTTCGAATCATTAGCGGTAGCTGCGTTGTGTTGTCCACCAAAAAAAAGAAAAACAAGGAGTATTTGGGTCCATAATATTAATAAAAAACAAATAGAGTTTGGTGAATTTCACACCTTGTATCCTGATTTACAAAAGGGCGAAAAACGTTATAAATTATATTTAAGAATGAATGAAGATCAATTTATGTTTCTGCTTAGTCTAATTGAACATGATATCGAGAAACAAATGACACAGTTTCGCACGCCAATATCTGCAATGGAACGTTTACTGGTAACTTTGAGGTAGGTGAATAATAATACAAGTGCTTTATTTTATTTTCTTATTTATTTTTACGCTTGTTCACAATCAAAAATTCTAGTATTGATTTTGCTGGACCTTCATATGCTTCACTTGTTTCTTCTGGGATCGAAAGCTCAATAACAGAATCTTGTGTCTGCTGCAACGGTTGAGAGCTGTATTGCGTGTAAGGAATTCGTGAAGTAGATGGTTGGAGTATGTTAGAGTACATAGACGATGAAAACTGTTGGATCTGAGAAGGAGGGGGTGAAGATTGCGGTCCGTATGAAGGCGAAGCAGATTGTTGAGTGAGAGCAGAGTGTGACTGGTGGGCATTGTGAGGTGAGGATGAAGACTGTGGTACGTATGAAGGCGAAGCACGTTGTTGAGTGAGAGGAGAGTGTGCTTGGGGGGCATTTTGAGACGAGGAGGGTGAAGATTGCGGTACGTACGAAGGTGAGATAGAATATTCTCTTAAATAAGGAGAAGATGTACGTCGAAAGAACGGCGACTGTGACGGTGTTGACATTACTGACGATCTACTGGAAGAAGCAGAAGATTCTATAGCAGATGTTTCGCATCTGATTTCAATTTCATGGACCATTTTCATTATATCAAACTGTAATTGAATTTGATCCAATTTGGGGAACTTCTTCACTTTTTTGGCCATCGTTTCAAAAAATAAATCAACATCATCTTTTTCAGGTTTATTCGATGTCCTTGTTTTCATTATATTTAATATTTGTTCCTGGTAATTGTTGTTATCTTTCCGTTTTTTTTGTTTCCTATTGTTCTCGTTTGAGTTGTCGTCGTTTAGACCTGAATTTTGGTCTTCTTCGCTCTCATCAACATTAGACACTGTGGGCCTATGTGCCATATAGGGCAACAAAAAAGACATTTCATCTTCAAATTTCCATTTCTTCCAGTTTTTTACTCCTTGGCCCGTTACCGTCTTTCTTCTAGATATCGCGTGCACGAACACATTTCTTAACAGGTTCCATTTTGTCTTGCATTGTGAAGCTAAAAAATCGAATTATCGTTAAGAATTGGTTTATCTTATCAATATTATAAAAATGAAATATGTATGACTACCAAACCCTACAGCGCGTGGCTCAACACACACTTGGCCGATTTCTTATTAATTTATACTTTTTCAGGTTTTTAGCCACGGGAGAATCATTTCGATCACTGGGATTTAGATACAAAATGGGATTTAGCACAATAAGAACTATCGTACTGGAGGTAACTACGGCTATTTGGAAAAATTTAAAAGATATTTTTATGCCAAAACCTACCATGGAAACGTGGAAGCAAATAGCGAAAATATACAGCGATAAATGGTAGTTTCCTAATTGTATCGGCAGCTTAGACGGCAAGCATGTTATGCTATTTTGCCCTAATAATGCAGGAACGTCATTCTACAATTATAAAGGCCGACACTCTGTTGTTCTCTTAGCATTAGTTGACGCTAATTACAAATTTATTACAATTGATGTTGGGGCCTTTGGACGTAATAGTGACGGTAGTGTGTTTGCCGAGTCAAAACTGGGAACTTCTTTGGCGAATAATACTGCAGATGTACCAGCAGATACACCATTGCAAAATGGTGGTGAACCCATGCCACATGTCATTATAGGAGACCAAGCCTTTCCATTAAAACGATATTTAATGAGACCATATAGTAAAGAAGCTGTCTCTAACAATGCAAACAAAAAAAACTTCAATTATAGATTATCGCGTGCGAGGAGGACAGTCGAAAATGCATTTGGAATTTTAGCAGCAAGATGGCGGATATTTCATACAGATATTGAAGTACAACCAGAATATGTTGATAAAATTATTTTAGCTTGTTGTTGCTTACACAACATGCTACGGAACGCCGAAGACGATAATATTTTTTTGCAAGAACTACCTAATGGTGTACCAGATAACTTTATATCATTTGAAGGTATTCGTCATAATTCCACTCGTGTGGCATTTGATATACGAGACAAGTTTTGCGACTACTTTAGTTCTGAGAATGGACGTTTGCCTTGGACAAATTAGAATAGTTTAAAATAAAGTAATAATTACTCTTACCTGTAGTGTTTAATTCACGCCCTATTTGAGCCCATACTTGGTCTTTTAATGCAGCATTTTTATAATGTTGAAGTTTATGATTATAAAGGCATTCGTGGGCCCTAACACATTCTATTAATTTTTCGTCCATTGCGCTGATGTATTACCGCGCGCGATCGCGGTTGGTTAGCTTATGAACCCGAAACGTCCGCGGACGCGTCCCGCACCGACGTCCGCGTCGACGTAACGAGAACTAAAAATCAGTACAAATTTGACAATGATATTTCGAACTCGCAAACTATTCGAATTCGATATTGGTTCGTGCTAAGGGTACAAGTATATGTATTGTATCTTAACACAAGTCTATAATGCGATTCAACTAAGAATAGGATCGACGGGGCGCCATATTGTGACGTCATAGCTGTCAATTCAAACGAAAAGGCAGAGTGAGCAAAAAAGTTTTTATTTAATAAAAGTTATTTACTAAGATTAAGTGAGAAAAAACATCCGATTTTTTAATAAAATTTATTTACTAAAATTGAGAAAAGAAAATAACCGATTATTAATAATATTTATTTATTAATACTGTGCGAGAAAAACCATTGACCATTGGTGTAGTAGAACCAAAAACCACATCTTTATTTTTTGTAATAAAGTAACAGTTATAGGTATTCAAATTTATAATATTTATCCACATGTTTCTAGTTTGTATATTCGGAATACGTGTTTGAGTTTCATACAAGTGCAAATCACATATGTTCTAATAAATTATATTCAGCAGCGATTTTAATTGAATATTTTGATTATTTATTTATTTTTACAAATTAAAACTGAACTTTATTGACTGTGTCCTTTTCCAGACTTTTTATTAATTTATTGTAATTAATTATTTGCATGCAATTAAAAACTAATTTTAAACGATGCTAAAGAAGGATAACTTCTCACGCGCCTACATAAGTACACGCACCCATTTTTTTTTATTTTTGTCGCAGCGTGTACACAGATCAAGTCTGGTGCCGTGGCGTTGTTCAGCAGCGCTGGTCCGCTCCTCGGCGCAACTCTAGGCGCCATCAGCCGCACGTTGCACACGCCTCACTTCATCGTGGCGCCACATCTGTACGACTTCGGTGAGTTAATGATAAACTTCCGTTGTAAACTACTTCATCATGTCAGTCGTACGCTGCCCACTGTTGAGCATAGGCCTCCCCCAAGGATCAGCCTTTTTTTTATATGTTGGGAAAATGCGTTATGCATACCCCGCCCTGGGTATGTGGCGGGGTTATGTGGGACTCCTCCTCCCCCCAAATCCCGCCCACCCAGTTGTTCTGGGATGTTGGCTGTTCGGGATGAGGGGGGGGGGGCTACCCACTAAAAACCCAACAGTGCTCCCTCGTCTGCCGGAACAGGTTTTGTGGGATCCGGGTGACGCTCCACGTTACCCCGGCAGAGGTTCTTCCTCCTCCTGATGGTCAGGGGGATGCCCGGGAGCACTTAGACATCCCCCCTTGACGGGCGAGACTGCGCAATGCGAGCGACGGACTACCCTGTCCGCCGCCAGCAGTCCCACTAAGGCCAAGGATCAACCTAGAATAACACCACCCCTCTCGTCCCATGGGTGTCGTAAAAGGCGACTTAGAGCACAGCCAGCAGAAGACGGGCAGCAGCGTCTTCTTGCAATATCTTGGACTAGTCGTGGTTGCGCTGACGAGGTACATGGTAGGGTGTTCTTTAGGCCGCTATCAATTCCGATGGTAGCTCTTCTATGATGTGCTTCCATTTCTGATGGTTAAATACTTCGTGAGTACCTACACTGGACCATGGTGGACTAAGTAGCCTTTGCGATGGCGTTTATCCAGCTGGTTGGCGATCGACCGCGTGCTCTCTTGCCTTCCACCTGGCCTTGAACTACCAGTCTTTCCATTGAATTCTTATTTTTTAGAGATGTGTCCAAAGAACTACAGTATTCGTAGTTGCACAGTTGACGAGAGTCTGTCTTTAAGACGAAGCTCTTTGAGAATGGATACATTGGTACGAAATGCCGCCCAAGGGATCTTTAGGAGACGTCTCCAGCACCGTTAGTGGGTTAGTGGGATTACGACTGACATATTTACTGTGATTATTATATAATTCAAATAAGTGAGGGTTTTATTTACAACAACCCGACTTCCAAAATAAAGTAAGCAAGAAGTTAGCACTCCTAATTCTTTAAATGAATGTCTACATGCAGTCCATGGGTGAACCCCACAGATGGCCCGAATACATTATTTTGTACTTCAAAGACTCTTTGAATATCGGTCGAGTTGCCCCATAGCAGCAAACAGTACCTCAGTATTGCCGCGACATAGCCATGGTAACCAATAAGAGCCATTAGATTACGCCGGGTTTCAAGGCGTCGCGTCGCCTACTCGAAAGGTCCCGGTTTCGAATCCCGGAGTGGACAGATGTTTATGATGAATACTTAGATTAAAACAAAAACGGTAGATACGGTACGCACATACTAGCATCAAATAATAATATGATCTGACTCAACTACACTACACACGTCTGTACATAAACATTCAATCGAGCGAGCGAGACAGAACTATACGCTTCAACACAGCGTATTGTTGTCCTTTTCTTGATACCAATATGGCTTAATATATGTGATTTATGAGAAAAAAATGTTTTTACAGTTTTTTGAATGAAAAGTGTTCCCGAAGCATTTGTTATTTGATTTTGAACTATTTGTGTTCTTTATAAAAAGCATTGAAGGCATTGTTTTATCTTTATAACACAGAATATACGCAATATTGTTATATTGAATGCACATGCAGCGTGTTTGAATGTCCAATTGTGACTAAACCCAATTATGTTCATGCACCACAATTTAAGCGGATCACTTTTGAGCCGCGAGTGCCGTATCTTACGCTCATTTGTAGTCATGGATGTTTAATATGTATTTCTATATAAATATATTTATATATGTATCAGTATATGTATTCTATCCGTTATCCTAGTATCCCATAACACAAGCCGACAGTGCTAACTTTGGGCTAGGCTAATTGGTGGGAGTGTTGGAAATATTTATATTTATTTATTATTCATCATTATCAGCCTATTAATGGCCCCACTACTGGGGCACAGGTCATCCTTATGGATGGAATAGGGAGATTGGGCCATGACCGGGCCCAGTGCGGATTGGCACCCACCACTACTGCAGGGGCTAACGACTGCAGGTGCAGCCGGGACCAACGGCTTAACGTGCCTTCTGAAACACAGAGGAACTCGAAATAGAAGATTTTTGCTCACCCATCCAATGACCGATCACTGCAAAAGTTGCTTAACTTCAACGATCGCAGCCGAACGCGCTAACCACCTGCGCCATCGAGCTCCTCCAGATTATTTATTATTATCAAACCCTTATTTTTTTCAGCGAACGATACCGAATCATTCACGATAAACCTGCATCCACCCAAAGATCTGATCGACAAGGCATTCCTGGATCTCACCTCATATCTCAACTGGACCAGAATGGGTATCATATACGAAGATTATGGTTACGGTAAGTGAGTGAATAGTACTGCAGAGCTTAACCTGAATTTTTGCGAGGTCCCCGCGATACCCCGGGAGACCCCTGCCGTGGAGCCCCGGCTAGGCCAGGAGGCTGCTGGCTGCAGAAACGTGGAAGAATCCCTAAAAATCCCGCGGCTTCGCAGTAAGCAGCTTAGAGGGTATTTGCAGGGTTTTTTAGCGGATGCCGTAAAGCAGCAGTAAGAGTTACGGGGTCCTCAGTGGGTAGCCACTGCGGGGGCCTGTAAAGCTTTCGGGAGCCAGGTGTGAGGTCCTTTCAGCGGTGTGTCTCTTAAAGGCGCCGTCGTCTGTAAACAGAGGTTTTGCCTGCGTTACAAAAAAAAGGGCTTAACTCTCGGGACGCAGCTTTTCTACAGCCATAAAAGATAATCACGAAATGTTTCACTTCTTTTATGTAATAAAGTAACTCCGTTAGCAATTTAAATATTGTCGTGCAGGCGTACATCATCGCATAAATTCAAACCTCTGTGGTTTTAAGATGCGATTGATTACAACATTATAATTATATTTCTTTGAAACTGGTAATATAAAAAAAAACAGAGAATAACATAATAATCTTCATATCAACCGATCGTTTCTGTAACTGAATTCTATCTCCTAGAATATTCGATATAAGACAAAAGATTCTCATATTCAAACCTTCAAACTAATGACATTTACTTTTTAATATAACTGCCAGCCGTAGGCATTACATAAACAAAGAGTTTTCACAAGCAACGAGGCCGTAAAGCTTACTGTACCGCGTGAAACTAACATTCCAAAAGATTACATTCCATCCATCCATCAGCCTTTCTCCGTCCACTGCTGGACATAGGCCTGCCCCATAGAACGCCACAATGCGCGGTCCTGTGCTATCCGCATCCAGCGGCTCCCAGCACATTTGACGATGTCGTCAGTCCACCTTGTTGGGGGCCGCACGCTGCGTCGTCCGGTACTAAAAGACTACATTATGAACTTGAATAAATATTACGATGTAACCATCCAACTGACAAAAAATGGCTATCTCATTAATTTATATTTTAAGTGGTAGAAGTAGGAGCGATATGTATACCAGCAAAATTCTCTATAACCTTCTAAAAGACCTCCGCCTGTCGAGAACTGCAGTTAGTTCAATTTTGTAATGAGTAACTAAGCCTGCACTAACAGCTATCAAATTTGGCTAGGAAGAGCGGGCAACTCGAGCAGTGAAGGTGAGAGTTGATGAGCATCTTAGAGGAGGCCTCCTTAAACCTATACCTGGGTCGCAAGACCCTGGAACTTCTCAGAGTTTCTCTCTCTCCCACACGATGGACAATTTTGTACCTTTATTTTATTTTTTATTTAATGATTGGAAAATCCGTTACGGATTCTCCACCCACCGGGAGAAGCGAGACGGAGGTATCTGCGGACTTCTCCCCACCCCCTTGACCCAGCCTCTCGACTGAGTGAAGCAGGCAGGGCCCTACCCAGTAAAAACCAAACAATACTCCAGCACCTTTCCCCGACACGTATCCCAAGGACCGCGGTCCTGACTATAGATGTAAAACAACCGATTTAAAACGTTTTAAACAAAATGTTGCCGTTTTAAACCCCAAATAAATCGTTTTAAACGGTTGAAAACTGGCATACAAAAATAAAAGAACTATGTTTTTACACTTCATTATGGTCAATTTTTGGTCACCTGACGTCATGGTTCGTATAAAGAAAATCAATAGAAAGTACCTACGTACATTTTTTTAATTTTTTTTTGGTGTTAACATCATCAACACCAATTGTTTTAAATCGAAAAAAAAGGTTTATTTCGGTTTTAAACGGTTTTTTTCGTTTTAAACGGATTGGTAAGGGGCGAGCATACATGGTACCCCCCGTTGGGACTGGTCATGCGCCCGCCGGTGATTGTCCTCTCTACGGGCCCTACGCCAATGTGCGGTTCCCCGGAGTAAATGGGGCACCCACCCATCACAGGAACGCGTGCAATGCGGACTGGCGCTCCCACACTAGGGATGATCGATATTCATCGATGTTGAACTGGAAAACATCTATCAACATCGTTGATATCGATATCATCGAAACATCGATGTTACTAGAATAAAATATCGAAACGTCAATTATTCTTTTGGGCGCTGTCTAGCGTGCATTAGGTGTAGTAGCTTCAAGTAAATGTTGCATAGTCATAAGCAGATGACTATCTAGTTACAACTACATATTTTCCACTAGATGACACTGATCAAAATAATCGGAGTAAGCCCAAAGCCCTATGTACGAAAAAGTTTGTTTTCATTTCTCAAGAGAACTTCAATGACATACACGTATTCTCATTATTAAAAGTGGAGCGCTTTAAAATGGCCTGTCATCAGAGCCGTGGGCGTCTTTTGCCGAATATTTTATTGCATGTATAATCGGAACATAATCTACTTTAGAATACAATAAAAACATTAGATCTCTCTCAAAAAATACGTGTTTGTATTTTAATATTATAAAGTACACTCTTACTGAGACACCCTATCTAATAATTAAAATATTTCAAACATCGATGTCAACATCGATGTTTTTCTAATATCGACCATCCCTATCCCACACCAGTCCGCTGGTTCCCGGATGAGTGAGAGGGGGAGCGTAGTTCTCCCCGTCCCTCTCCCCTCGCCAGGACAATTTTGTACCGGAACCGCGTGAATTTTATTCTTCATATTAAGTAACATTTTCTTTATATGTAATTGTAAATTTTTGCCAATGAAAGTTGCAACTACTATCTTTATATATATAATTCTTCTGTGAGTGTGTATGTCACTGAACTTCTCTTAAACGACTGGACCGATTTTGATGATTTTTTTTTGTGTGTGTTCAAGGGGACCTGCGAATGGTTTAGATTCACAATTTTGTCCGCTGGACAATGTTTTTTTAATTTTTTTTTATGGCGGTACGAAGTTCGCTGGGTCAGTTAGGATATATATATAATAATTTCTTGTATCCTCGACGACCTCCTTGGCCGAGTGGTTTATACGCCGGGTTTCATGGCATCGCCCACTCGAGAGGTCCCGGGTTCGAATCCCGGTAGGGGCAGATGTTTGTGTGATGAATACGAGCATTTGTACTCCAGTCATGGATGTTTAAATATGTATTTCTATATAAATATACTTATACTAGCTGACTCGGCGAACTTCGTACCGCCCAAAATAATTTGCAATAAATTAAAATTGCGACTATAATTTGAGATTTAAACTATCCTATCTCTCAAGTTGGATCGAACTGCACATGGTGTGCGAATTTTATTATAATCGGTTCAGTGGTTTAGGAGTCCATTGAGGACAAACATTGTGACACGAGATTTATATATATTAAGATATGTACAGTATATGTATTCTATCCGTTACCCTAGTATCCCATAACACAAGCCTTATAGTGCTTACTTTGGGGCTAGGCTAATTGGTGTGAGTGTTGGAAATATTTATTATTTATTATTATTATTTTTCACTCTATTTCCAGGTGAACTCAACGTCCTGAACATAGCCAAGGACGGCCGCGATATGTACGCGGTGCGGTGCGACGACGCGGGCGAGTACAGGCGTGCGCTCGCGCAGCTCAAGGCGCAGAGGATACACCACATCTTGGTGGACACTGACCCGAAGAAAGTGAGGCAGTTCGCGAGGGCGGTGAGTCATCGTAACACTGTCACCTGACAAGGGCATCGATAACCGATTATGAAATGAAATGAAAAATCTTTATTGGCCATGGTATAAGAAACAGAGGAAAAAAAACATATAAAAAAAATGGGTGCGTGTACTTATGTAGGCGAGTGAGAAGTTATCCTTCTTTGGCATCGTTTAAAATTAGTTTTTAATTGCATGCAAATAATTAATTACAATAAATTAATAAAAAGTCTGGAAAAAGACACAGTCAATAAAGTTCAGTTTTAATTTGAAAAAATAAATAAATAATCAAAAAAATTCAATTAAAATCGCTACTGAATATAATTTATTAGAACATATGTGATTTGCACTTGTATGAAACTCAAACACGTATTCCGAATATACAAACTAGAAACATGTGGATAAATATTATAAATATGAATATCTATAACTGTTACTTTATTACAAAAAATAAAGATGTGGTTTTTGGTTCTACTACACCAATGGTCAAGAGATGGCGCTGTAGTCTCCTGAATCGCGCTTTGGTTCCGTTGTTCCAGATTAATAAATACTTTTGATAGGCCTTCACAATGCAGTCGTTAGCACCCACTAAATAGAGATTCTATTTCTATTTTCTTGGTAGATTTTCTTAATGTGCGGTAAACACACAATATTAAAAAGTTCCATATGTTTCGCCCTTGAAAGAGCATACAAAATACTAATAAAATATCTAAAAATTCAAATTTAAATTAAAAGTAACGCATGAAGTTGGTCGCTAAAGCGACCAACTTCATGCTGTTAAAATTTTGTGTTACAGTGATGCGCGCGCATTTTAAAATTTCACTCTCATCATTTTTTCATAACGCGCCTAAAGAAGTATAACTTCAAAAATTAATCATTAGATTTAAAATGGCCAATCAGGACCCTGCCTCAGCTTATGCTGATACAATAAGAAAATATTCTCACACTGTATCAGCGCTGGTATTCTGGCAGGGTCTGTTTGAGGACGTGTTAAGCGCTATAGTAAACAAAATAACATAAATACTTGGTGTCGATTCTGGCGTGACTCTCCGAACCCAAAACCAAATTCAACACCAGAATGCACCGCTGTCAAACCCAAGACTAGCCCTAGAGAATCACGCCATAATCGACATCATTATAAAAGAATACTTAATAATAAAAATAAAATAAGAACAAAAAAAAAGAAGGACATTTCGACATTTACATTTTGAAAAATTATAAAAGATTACGACAACTACGATTACATTTTCGGAACCGGTTCTTTCGGTTCCCTTCAAAACACAGAACCGGGTACCCGGTTCTTTCGGTTCCTTTGAGGTAAGTAATTTATTTAAATTGTAGTTGATCAAATAATGAGGTACTTATTCAAAATCAATGAATATTTCATCAATAATCATGTTTTATTTATTAGAAACACAAGAATCTTTAAAAATTTCAACTTTGACAAAACCATCGATTCGTAAATTCTGAAATTAATAACAACTAGTTCAGTTCACAGTATTCAGTTCTTTCTTAATTTAGCGAAATAAACATAAAATTATAATATATTTAAATCTGGTGTAGACGATTCCTCAGCATCTGCTGCGCTGGCTCAACTCTCTATTCAATTCTTCCTGTTGTGTTAAGCACTCATGTAAGGAACTTTCCGGAACTCTAGTATTTGTGTCTGGTGCAATACTTTGACTTTGTGGTTGTACGCTGAATCAAAGTGTTAAGTAAGAACCGTTAGAATAGTTAGAACCGGGTTTTTACATCTAAGAACCGGTTCTTTTAGATACTCCCAGAACCGGGTTTTCCCAGTTCTTTCGGTTCCGGGTAGAACCGGTTCCGATGCCCTACATCTGACATCATCATCATCAGCCTATTAATGTCCCCACTGCTGGGGCACAGGCCTTCCCTACGGATGGAATAGGGAGATTGGGCCATGACCCACCACGTGGGCCCAGTGCGGATTGGCGGGTGCTAACGACTGCAGATGCAGCCGGGACCAACGGTTTAACGTGCCTTCCGAAGCACGGAGGAACTCAAGATAGTAAATTTTTTTTTGGTCACCCATCCAATGACCGACCACTGCGAAAGTTGCTTAACTTCAACGATCGCAGCCGAATGCGCTAACCACTTGCGCCATCGAGCTCCTCCGCATCTGACATCAATATCTATACTTTTTGAAGTTTTAACTTGTTATGGGCGCCAGTCTATCTGACTTCCCTTCGCCGCGAGAGGAGACGCCACAGCCCGCATAGATACACTCGCGGAAAGACCCGCTCTGTCACCCATAATGCCATAATGGCTTGCGGTAGCGGCGTAGTAAAAATTCATTCATAGATATGTAATAGGGGTGATGACGGGGTACACTAAACGAAATTCTATTTAGTCCGTCAGTTAGATGATCAAAAAATAATGGACACGTATTTTTTCTTTGGGAAATCAACCAAAAAATGACAAAGTTATAGCGCGTCAAAGTTTGGGAGTAGGGGCTCGTGACGTCACTTTTGAGTGAATTTCCACTTGAAAGTGTACTCAAACGTGACGTCATGCGACTTTTCAAATCAATATATCTCTGCAATGTTTATATTATGTGAAAAAAGAAAAAATACGTGTCCAATACTTTTTAATAATCTACCTGATAAACGAAGAAAAAAAAATAGTCCCTATTATCGCTGTCTTACTTTTTCGTATAGCGCTGTCGCGATCACGATGCGGATGACAAATTGCAACTAAAACAAATGCAATTCAATTCATTATTCAATCAATGAAATGCTCTCTGTCTTACTTTTGTGCGGCGGCCCGGATTGGCGCGTCCGACGCGAAGGCGGGGCGTAGTAAAAACTACTGTAGAAAACCGCTCAAAACATTTTGTTTGCCAAGTGACAGAGCGCAAAATTCCGCGATAGTACCAGAGGGGTGTCCCCGCTCCACTCTCTCACCCATCAATCCCTACTATCACCCAACAATCCCCTTATCACTCTCGAATCGATTTTTAAGGTGAAACCAGAATTTTTTGTAGTTAAACTTCTTTTCGAACGGGGTGTGAATGAAAAATCCTATGGAAAAGGTGAAACGGAATGAGGGCTATCGCGTATGAATCCGCCGCTAGAGGCGCTAGTGTAGCGTGAGGTCTCCGAAACGTCAAATGTTATTGCTTGTTGGTTGACTACGCGGGTTTATTTCTTATTAAAATAATGTTGTGAATAATTGGTAACAATTCGGCTTTATTATGGCAAATATGAGTTATGTGGCAATGAATGTCAGTTATTAAAAATTTGAGCTTAGAAAAATGATTATGTTCCCATTTTTTCCGAATAAAACGGAACTGGGCGTCACTGTGGCATGGCCTATTATGTTTAGGATGTGGTTCTTTTGTGTTAAAACACGATCTAAATGTAACCTTTGATTTCATGTGCGTATTAATAAACTTTAAAAGTTACAATTTAGGACCTCACTCAACAGTGGCGCCATCTGGTGAGACAGAAAACGGTAACCCTCATTGCGTCACGGGTGCCACGCTACTTTAAATGTGTGTGTGACGCTCTTCATGAATCATGAAAGTTGGAGGGTAACTCGGCGAAGGCTGAATAGCTATGAGCGTCACACGTGACAATGGTGTCGATTCTAGCACGATTCTCTAAATCTAAACTTAAATTTGACAACAGTGTATCCTTGTTATTCTCTATACAGAATGAAAAGGAGAGGCTGATGTTAAATTTAGTTTTAAGTTTAGAGAATCACGCCAGAATCGACACCATTATATATATACTAGCTGACCCAGCGAACTTCGTACCGCCCTAAAAAAATAGGGGTTGTCCAGCGGACAAAATTGTGAATCTAAACCATTCTCAGATCCCCTTGAACACACACAAAAAATTTCATCAAAATCGGTCCAGTCGTTTAAGAGAAGTTCAGTGACATACACACTCACAGAAGAATTATATATATAAAGATATATACTAGCTGACCCAGCAAACTTCGTACCGCCATAAAAAATAGGGGTTGGTGGCAGAAAGTTGAAAATTTAGGGATGTATGTATTTTTGTATGATGTATCATAAAAAAATTAAAAAAAAATATATCTAAAATCGAAAAAAAAATTTAGGGGTGGATTACCCTTTACATTTAGAGGGATGAAAAATAGATTACATCCGGTTCTCAGACCTACTGAATATGCATATAAAATTTCACGAAAATCGGTCGAGCCGTTTCGGAGGAGTTTAACCACAAACACCGCGACAAGAGAATTTTATATATTAGATATATATATATATATATATATATATATATATATATATATATATATATATATATATATATATGGTTTAGATTCACAATTTTGTCCGCTGGACAACCCCTATTTTTTTAGGGCGGTACGAAGTTCGCTGGGTCAGCTAGTATATATATAATGGTGTCGATTCTGGCGTGATTCTCTAAACTTAAAACTAAATTTAACATCAGCCTCTCCTTTTCATTCTGTATAGAGAATAACAAGGATACACTGTTGTCATATATATATATATATTACGAGTTTTACAATTACGAAAACTATGATAGTTTTCGTAAGCTCGCACTCGTACTAAGGGTACTATTATTTAATTGTTTTTGTTTCCATACAAATAAACAGTGTTTAAATTCAATCATTAAATCATTTGCGCCTTTTTAAATTATAAGTATATTTGGTTACTTTTCACCAAAATGGACATAGAAACATAATTTACAATTGCGAAAACTATGATAGTTTTCGTGAGCTCAAACTCGTACTAATGGTACTGATGTGTGCTCCGTACACGCTTTTTTTTTGAAGTTATACTTGAGGAGTGAAATTTTAAGATGCGCGCGCATCACTGTAACACAAAAAATTGTGTTATTTAGGTTAGGTAAGGTTAGGTCGCTAAAGCCAACTTCATGCTGTTACTTTTGTGTTTACCGCACATTAAGAAAATCTACCAACAAAATAGAAATAGAATCTCTATTTTGTGGGTGCTAACGACTGCATTGTGAAGGCCTATCAAAAGTATTTATTAATCTGGAACAACGGAACCAAAGCGCGATTCAGGAGACTACAGCGCCATCTCTTGACCATTGGTGTAGTAGAACCAAAAACCACATCTTTATTTTTTGTAATAAAGTAACAGTTATAGGTATTCATATTTATAATATTTATCCACATGTTTCTAGTTTGTATATTCGGAATACGTGTTTGAGTTTCATACAAGTGCAAATCACATATGTTCTAATAAATTATATTCAGTAACGATTTTAATTGAATATTTTGATTATTTATTTATTTTTTCAAATTAAAACTGTACTTTATTGACTGTGTCCTTTTCCAGACATTTTATTAATTTATTGTAATTAATTATTTGCATGCAATTAAAAACTAATTTTAAACGATGCCAAAGAAGGATAATTTCTCACGCGCCTACATAAAGTACACGCACCCATTTTTTATTTAACAAGCGGTTCTATTATATATTTTTTTTTATTATGACCAACCTTTGTGATATATGTATAATTTTAATAAGGTCTTGCTTATAATATGTTTTTATTATTATTCACAGATATTGCAGCTACAAATGAACAACGAATATTATCATTACATATTTACATCATTCGTAAGTACCTAATTTTTTTTTTCTTCTTAGTTTTTGAGTTAGTATGCTGTTGGTCGCAGATAACCTTTACATCGTCACCGAGTTTGGGGACGGCGAGATCCTAAGGGGACCTCAAGCCGAGAATTGGCGAGTGCCTCTAGAGGTATTCCAGGCGGATGGCATCTCCCCACGGGGGGAGTCTCCTCTCCGTCTGGAGCCTCTCGACCACACGAACCTGAGGGGGTCGGCTCAACTAGAGGACGTCTCTGAGACTCGGACCTCTGCTCTAGTTAGCTAGGTAGCCGTTGTCTTGGGGGGTACCACAAGTCGAATAGGACTAGGTCAGGCTGTGCAGTCAGAAGCGAACAGCGAATGAAAGCATGAGACAGACAGACAGACAGACAGATCCAGTACTCGGAGTCGGATTTACTCATCTTTCGCATGGTTTACATGGCGGCAATATTCAATAGTAAATTTAGAAAACCGAAGAATAATAAATTAATTCAATAAATTCAACATCTTATTCGACCTCCGTGGTCGAACGCCGGGTTTCATGGTGTCGCCTACTCGAGAGGTCCCGGGTTCGAATTCCGGTGGGGGCAGATGTTTGTGTGATGAATACGAGCATTTGTACTCCAGTCATGGATGTTTAATATGTATTTCTATATAAATATACTTGTATAAAATATGTACAGTCGGTATATGTATTCTATCCGTTTCCCTAGCATCCCATAAAAAGCCTTACAGTGCTTACTTTGGGGCTAGGCTAATTGGTGTGTATTAGAAATATTTATTTATTTTTTATTGAAAAGTCAAACTGTTACAAAAATGATATTTCATCAATTACCAGACTTATATAGAACTTAATACAATTTTTTTATTTTTTTCAAACAGGACATGGAACTTTTCGATTTGGAGGACTTCTACTACAACCGGGTGAATATCAGTGGATGGAGACTGGTGGACAGAGCCTCTGATAAAGTGAAGGAAGCTCTTCAAGTGATGGAGAAGTTCCATCCAATAGGAGCTTCAATCCTTAGCGGAGGACATATTAAGGTAAACAATTAATGTATATTTGTTCATTATGTAATGAAAGGTGACTTCATGAATCATCTCTGAAGTCGTTTTTCAACTTGACGACTCTGTAAATAATAAAACAGGGAGAGAAAAACAAACAGCCCTTGCTGAGTTCCTTGCCGGTTCTTCTCAGTACAAGGTCTCCCGCCGTAGATTTACGAACCGATGGCGTAGCTTCTAGACATTCATGAGTGCTTGTAACAGCCTAAACTGAATAAACAATTTTTTTTATGATTATGGTAAATATAAAAACATAGTTTAATACAGTAGTATTAGGCACTATAAAAATAATAATCAATTAATTTATTTGTCCCAACATTATTACATAGTTAAATCATAATAATTGTTTTTTTTATGCCTAATAACAACGACAATACCTCTTAAAACAAAAAATACAATAAAATAACACTGTAACAAGACATTAGTACCTGTCTACTACAATAAAGTGTACTATTGTTATTATTATTTCATTTTTTTTATATAGAGGTCCGACAAATGACTCCACCCCACCTGATGTTAAGTGAAGGTGAAGTCCAGACGCGAAGATAGCTGATACAGCAGTTCTACCTGCCACACCAGCCATCCTCACCCTGCCGGACTGCATGTTGCTTCTTCACGCCTCTTTTAAAGGATCCCAGATTGTAAGAGGGAGGGAACACGTGAACGGACAGAGCATTCCATTTACGGATAGTGCGACAAAGAAATGTGTTCGTCTAACCGTGGCCACAATTCCAACGCGTACAAAGAAATTTGGTGACTCATAAATGGAATGCTCTGCCCGCTCACGTGTTCCCTCCCTCTTACAACCTGGGATCCTTTAAAAGAGGCGTGAAGAAGCAACATGCAGGCCGGCAAGGTGAGGATGGCTGGTGTGGCAGGTAGAACTTCTGTACCAGCTATCTTCACGTCTGGACTTCACCTTCACTTAACATCAGATGGGGTGGAGTCATTTGTCGGAACTATCTTTAAAAAAAACTACATTTAATATAAGGTGGGGTAAAGACAAATAAAGTGATTTGCCTATCAAGCTATATAGAAAAATATAGTTCAATAATTTATTTAAAATGCTTGTTAGGTTTTTTATGAAATAGATATAAAAGTAAAATACAAAAACGTAAATACAAAAATAAATATAGTATAAAGAACCTAACCTAGAAGGCCACCAGACAAAGAAACCGCCTGACGATGCGCGCCGTGTCCAGGAGTACTGCCTTTTGCATCTGCCCCTTGACCCAACCATCTAGCGAGAGACTCTTTAGATGTTGGCCGAGACTCTTCGATATGAGACCGTTCACACGACGACTATAGGGACAATGATCGTCGAATCCACATCCCACAAAGCGGTTACCTCGTTGGCCAAGTACAGGTACTTCCTGAGCTTGTCCTTCTCGGCCTTCACGAGGTTCTCGACATGCGGGATGGTGATATCGATGAGCACTGCCTGGCGTTTCAATCGATCTGTCAATACGATATCAGGCCTATTGGCAACAACAGTACTGTCCGTAGTGACAGACCGATCCCAATAAAGCGTTGCACGACCATTTTCGAGAACTGGCGTCGGTGCGTACTTATGTACGGCCTTCGGATTCTACAAGGTCGCATTGAACAGCAAGTTGCTGGTGGGACTTTTTGACGGGATCGGGAAGCGTCACTTTAGCAGTTTTGTTTTTCTTGTTGAAAATTGTGTTGTGGCGGATGTTAGTGTCTAATAATGGTGGATTATTAACCACTAAGTATTCGGGAACATGCACAAGTGTTGGCAAGTGAAACGAAATAGCGGAAAGTGTCTTTCGACGTTCCCTCAAGAAGTCCACGGGGAGGTTCCAGTAAATCCCCACACTTTTACTGAAACATGGGGAAAGGGGATTGACTTGACTGGCACTTACTTTGACTTGACTTATTACTTTGACCAAGAGTGCTATAGTATTTGTATGTTGTATAAGTATGTAACACTTGACGTTGGCTAAATGCACAAGCCGTGCGAAGCAATTTAGAAAAACAAAACTGAAACTGTGCCGCCTTGTTCAGACATTGTAAAAAATGTTCACAAAGACAAAAAAAGGTCTTTCTTTTTGACTTCGTATTTGCTTTGGTGGCACGCATTGCGTGTTCCGTACGCCTGTCATTTGTTATGTAATCTGAGTCCTACTATATGGGAAAGCTTAAAATTGCATTGAACTGCACTAAATACTGGCATGATTGCGTTTATTGTCAATAGATAAACTGGCTAGATCGCTGATGGATCTAGTGGGAACTTATTTTCTCCATCGATCCTGATTTCAAGCTATGGAGATAAGGAAAATTTTCTCTCTCTGTAGATCCATTGGATAGATTCAAGCTGGATGCTCAATCTGGATCTGGATGCCAAAATCAGGAGGCTAGGGAGTCGGGGTTAGGGATGTGAACCCATCGAAAACATGTTATTGAATGGATCGAATAAACATCATGAGTGTAGGGTGTTAGGGTTATTGATGTAAAACTATCGAAAACGTGGTACCCCCAAGGATCGGATAACAATCGTGAGGGTAGGGAGTCAGGGTTAGGGATGTGACACTATCGAAAACATGTTATCACCAATGATCGGATAAAATCATGACGGTAGGGACTAAGGGTTAGGGATGTGACACTATCGAAATCATGTTACCCCAGGGATCGAATAAAAATCATGAGGGTAGGAAATGAATAGAAAAAAAAAAAAATGGTTGCCTGTAAAGTCGGTTTTACGGGCGAAGATTTTACGTGACAACGTCTTTTTCTCGGTAGAATATTTATTGATATGAATATAATTAAATTGCACAATAGGAACAAGGAATTGAATGAAAATAAGAATTGCACAAATTTTAACTATAGAAATATATTTTGTTTACTAAAACATTGTACATGTAAACTTAAACTTAACACGAGAGACTCATCGTAACGTTACCGAGCGTTACACTTTTTCATAAGTGACTCCCAGCCGCAACCTAATTTAAGACGTTGTCACGTCAAAAAGACAATAATTTTATGGAAATAATCCATTATAAATCTACGTAATGTTTTTTGTGTTGTTTTCAGACTGAACCTGCGCTTCTTTACGATGCAGTACAAGTCCTAGCTTTGGCTTTATCTAGCACAGAAAATATTCGTTCAGACAACGTGTCTTGCGATAAAGAGACTGTTTGGACACATGGGAGATCTTTGTTGGACAATATTAATAATGTGAGTACCTACCTACCACAAAACTTGGCTTAAAATTTAAATCGTATCAGAAACTCATTACCATTATTGTCTTTCCTAATAAGTTGTTACAAACTTAGATTAAAACAAAAAGGGAAGATACGGCACTCGCGGCTCAGAAGTGATCCGCTTAAATTGTGGTGCATGACCACAATTCACTTTAGTCACAATTGGACATTCAAACACGCTGCATGTGCACTCAATGTAACAATATTGCGTACATTCTGTGTTATGAAGATAAAACAATGCTTTCGATGCTTTTATAAATAACACAAACAGCTCAAGATCAAATAACAAAGGAGATTGCTCAAATTGGCCCAAATCTACAAAAATATTGACATATACGGTAATTCTTGGCGTAATTTATACTTTATTTTACAGTCATTAGATTTTAACGGACACCTTTGTATAATATATTCATTTTCAAAAGGACTTAATTTTACTGGTTTGGAAAACATACGAATCATTTTTAATAGCTATAGTTGTAGTAACATTCAGCCAAAGATTGACCGAAGTTGTTTATATAACATAAAAACAAATCTGTTTTGTAAAGATCGATAAAATAAAACTTTTATTTTATTACACTGTGGTATTAATATCCACAACTATATATATATATTATCATTTTCACTACATGCAATTGTGCTAAGACAATTTATATAGATGGTAGGCGACATCATAAAGTCTATTGCCATACATTTTTCGCCAAACACCTCCATAACACATTATAAGGTGTGATACACTAAAAATCTAAAATATGGTTATAATATAAACATAACAAAAATAATGAATCTTAACTAACTAAATTAACGAGAGTTTAAAAATTCTCTCTAACCTGTGGCTCATTCACAATCATCACACAGTTTCTGTCACAAAGTACCTTATTATAACCGGAAATGCATAGATGATACCTGATTTTAAAAGTTACTCTTGTGCATTAACTTTATAAACAGGCAACTAGCTGTTAATCTTCCTGCTCTATATACCTGAATCTAATACGTAATTTCGGTACTTGGCTTGATTTCCCTAGTTTACTATATAACTTATTTGTTTTTTATTATTTTAATACCTACGTACCTATTTACAAACATAACTTCAAAATCATTCTGTGTATATGTTTTATAGAAGTTCTCAGGGGTGTCCGTCAATAATATTCGTTTCTACAGTAATTTATATCTAATTTTCGAATCTAGGAAACAATTTTTCATGATTATTGGTTTTTAGGTCAAACATGTAAGGAAGCTGTGCAATCTCCTTTCACTGTAACACTTGTCATTCGTAAAACTTTGAAAATATATTTTTTTTCAACAATCACGGTTTGGCATGAATGTTATTTACTTTTTCGCCATTTGTTATCAAGAATAGGACAACAATAGGGCTCAGCCGTTTGTAGAAAGTGGACAGAGAACGCAAAAGCCAAGCCAAATTTCTCTCGCTCTCCGTTGAAGCCTACAATACCCTTAGCACGAACCATTATCGAATTCGAATTGTTTGCGAGTGCGAAATGTCATTGTTAAATATGTATTGATTTTTAGTTCTAGTTACGTCCGTTTTAGCGCTGCTGTTCAAGTTTCCATACAAAGTTTGACAATGACATTTCGGACTCGCAAATGTGTCGTGATTTTCTGAGTGTCCTGGTATGTTTTAGAGCAAATTACTTAACATTTTGACATTTTTGATCTTTATCATACACACGCACGATTTGACTCAGTCTAGTGAATTATCCGCAACTAGTTTTGTAGTGGCCCAATAGCGGGGGAAAACCGGCAGACGGGAAAGCTGAGAATGCCATACTCCCCTCTTGGCCGCGTTGCTGTATTGTCAAAGTAGGTGAAATTTTAGTCATTACCAGCTTTAGATCTAAAGAAAAGATTACTAGAAAAAAAACACGCGGACCAGGCAGCAGCAAGGGCGGATCCAGCTTTGGCGCCAGTGGGGGGGGGGGGGGTCATATAGCCAGCTTTGGCGGCAGGGGGGGTCATATAGTCGTGGTATATTAAATATTGAAAGTACTTAAATAAAATGTTGTCATGACCCCCATGACCCCCCCCCCCCCTGGATCCGCCCTTGGGCAGCAGACGGGACTCGAACACGCACCGTCTGCTGCCTGGTCCTTGAATTTTTTCTAGTAAACTTTTCTTTAGATTTAAACATCTAGCAGTTAAATGCTAGATTTTTTTATAGGTAGGTCCGATAAATTACTCCACCCCACCTGATGTTAAGTGATGGTGAAGATAGCTGGTAAAGCAGTTCTACCTGCCACACCAGCCATCCTCACCTTGCCGGCCTGCATGTTGCTTCTTCTTGCTAGATAACATTACCAGCTTTGTTTTTTAAATGCAAATAGGAAGAGGTTTTCAAATCGGCCGATATGTTTTTTTTTATGTATTAGACTGATCAAGCCGAGGTTTCTGATCCGATTTAGATGATTGTTTTTGTTTGATGCAGGGTATAGTTGCCCTGTGTTCCCATAAAATTTTATTTAGTTTTTCCAAGTATTTTTTATTTTATGAGCAGTTTGTAAAATTTGGCGATGTAATTTTCATGATAGAGTCCGTGCGAAAAGAGAATGGGCGTGGCGAAAAACGCAACTAACATTAAGATTTTTATTTGGCAATCAAACTCAGCAATCTGTAAAACGTCAAAGTTTTGTGTTGATACGGATTTGTTTGTTGTTGTGATTACTTACGATTTTTTGTATTTAATCATGTCTAAAAGGGGTAAAACCTTACAAATACGGCAGAAAAGCACTACAGCGCCCTCCAATCTAAATAAATCCCATTCTCTTTCCGCACAGACCTTTGTTTTATATGTACACCGATTGCGTAAAGATTTCTGATCCGATTTGAATGATGCCTTTTTTGTTCAATGGGATTCTCGATCCTGTGCCCCAACAGTGGGGGCATTAAAAAGGCTGATGATGATGACCCGTTCAAAATGTATAAAAAATATTAAACTTCCTCTTCCAGATCAAGGCGCACGGTCTAACAGGTCCAATAGAATTCAAGAATGGCTCCCGAAGCAAGTTCAACCTTCAGCTGATGAGGTTGTCTGGTGGAGAGAATGGTGGAACTGTTCTCGCCGGTCACTGGTCGCCCACCGAGGAGCTGAAGATCACAGACCCGGCGGCTTATAAGAGAGACCCACCACCGAACGTCACTCTGACAGTTGTCACTGTTGAGGTAAGTCAAAAAAAAATGTGTGTGTCAGTTCCGACGCACGACCGGAGTTTACACTCTAAAAACGATTGTCTTTGAACAGACACAAAACAAAATCAAGTCCGAAGAAGTCGGTTACAAGTAGAGATACCTCAGGAATCGTCCCATGGTTTCGACTATCATAGGTTCCAAGTCCCACATTTTATCATCTAACATCATAATATATTCATCATATATTTTATTATGTATTTCTGGAAACACACAATTTCAAAAATATCACATACTAGTCATCATTTTGTAAATATGTATTATAATTCCATCTGTACTGAAAATCACTATTCCAGAGTGCTGGACACTTACCGGCATTTCTCTATATTCTGTTATTTATTTGTTTTCAATAATTTTGCTCCGATTTTATCTATTTTTAGTTTATTTATTTTATTGACATTTGTGACAACTTAATGTTTTTTATCCGTTGCCATGGCTAAAAGTGAAAGGTGCGCAGATGAGGTTGCGCACAAAAACGTAACGAGGTCATTAATGTCATTCATCGATAGATTTTACTCCTCACATTTTTCTCATTCCGGGCCCCTTATATATGCAAATCTATTCTTAAGGAGTATACTTCAAAAAATGCGAAAGGATTTTCACATTACAGAAGACTCCAGTGAACCAATTATATCTTTAGGTGGTTTCGTGTTTCTTTTAGTGAGATAGGTGAGCCTGGAACAGCCCAAACTGAATAAACTATATATTGTTTTAAACTTTCATTGTCACTAACATTATAGCTATTAACGGAATTGTTACCATGTACCTTGTTTTAATGAGTCTCCGATATTTCGGCACTGTTGCAAGCGCCATGATCACGGAGTAACTGAAATATCGGAGACTCATAAAAAACAAGGTAGAGTCTGTGCGGAAAGAGAATGGGCGTGGCGAAAAACGCAACTAACATTAAGATTTTTATTTGGCAATCAAACTCAGCAATCTGTAAAACGTCAAAGTTTTGTGTTGATACGGATTTGTTTGTTGTTGTGATTTCTTGCGGTTTTTTGTATTTAATCATGTCTAAAAGGGGTAAAACCTTACAAATACGGTAGAAAAGCACTACAGCGCCCTCCAATCTAAATCCCATTCTCTTTCCGCACAGACTCTACATGGTAACAAACCCAATAGCTATAATGTTATTGACCATGAAAGTTAAAAACAATATATCATTAACCGGTCCGGGCCGGATACAGCAAAGTTAATAAAAGACCTAGAACGCGCGCGGAAAAAGTGTGAGTGATTAAAGGAATCACTATCATTCCCACATGTGTTAGGATAAAGGCCTACGCAGACCGGGACGTCATGGCAAGGGATTTAAATTTTTACTAATTGACATTCAACCGTACTGTTACAGAAATACGATATAAATTGCTATGCTATAAAATGATGCCGTGGCATTGAAAGGGATTTTATCGCACGGCATTAAAAGACGCGCCACAGGCTCCCGTGGCGGGATGGCATATTGCGGTAAGCAACGGCATGCCACGGACTCCGGCGCTCGTAGTGATATACTGCGGGGTGCGGCGGCGGGGTTAGAGAAGCGGAGAATTCACCCTTTGATTCCCTTTCTTCCCATAGATTATAAACCCAAAATCTTCTTCTATTCCTATTATCAGCCTATGAACCTACTTCTTCATCTGCAATAATCGATATCAACACCAAATCCCAATCTACCATTTTAAAACTGAGGCACACCAACACTCGATCAAACGCAACTGAAGACTAAAAGTGTATCGGGCAGCAGGAGTCGCTGAAGCGTGCTTTGTCGTGCCGCGGCATAGTGCTGGAATGCCGCGGTATCTAAGCTTCCAGTGTGCGCTGACTCACGGCAAAATCCCTTGCCATGCTGTCCCGGTCTGCGTAAGCCTTAAAACCGCGAACAGGCATTCATGGTTCCGCGAGTGTTCTGCGAAATGCGAGTATAAAACTGTTGCGCAAATCGATACGTAATTGTAGGCAGTAAAAGACGACGTCGGAGGGTACACCGATATGTCTGCCAATAACATCTACCAACAATTACTTCAGTTATTCCATGATCATGGCGCTTGCAACAGTGCTGAAATATCGGAGACTCATAAAAAACAAGGTACATGGTAACAATCCCGTTAATAGCTTTAATGAATAAACTATTTTGATTTTGAAATGGCGGCCGCCGAAACAAACAAGCGGGATATTTGCTTGTTCGCCATTCTTTACCTTATAGCCTGTCTAGAGTACTACTAATAATCATAATAATCGGAATCAAAATTATTTATTCAGTTTAGGCTGTTACAAGCACTCATGAATGTCTAGAAGCTACGCCATCGGTTCGTAAATCTACGGCGGGAGACCTTGTACTGAGAAGAACCGGCAAGGAACTCAGCAAGGGCTGTTTTTTTCTCCCTGTTTTATTATTTACAGAGTCGTCAAATTGAAAAATGACTTCAGAGATGATTCATGAAGTCACCTTTCATTACATAATTATTATTAAATATACATTAATTGTTTACCTGCATTTTGATTGCTGCAATTGCAATTCTTTCATAGTAAACCCTATTTTCACATAAAAAATTAAAATGTGGTGTCGTGTAGTTCCTTCAGCTAATGTAGAATCGACACAAATTTCAAACTCGCTTGTGTATGCGACTGTCGCGCCTGCGCACGTCTCATTTAACGGTTTTATTCCACGCACTTTTTTCCACGGATTTTTTATTACAGTTTTACTATCACATTTTTTCAGTTCGGTCGCGCAGCAAAATCCCTATCCCCTCCAAGCCTGCCGTAAGGAACTTCGTTCCAATAAAATGCAAAGTCTTTTGATAGTCAACCCTTTTTTCCAGGAAAAACCCTACGTAATGGTGAAAGAAGGCTGGAACCTGCAAGGCAATGCGCGCTTCGAAGGTTTCTGCATCGATCTTCTGGCGCGAGTAGCTGCGCGCGCTGGTTTCCACTACCAGCTACGATTGGTGCCCGACAATATGTATGGGGCACGGGACCCCAATACGGGGCACTGGAATGGGATCGTACGGGAGCTGGTTGATAGGGTGAGTGTTACAGATATAGTAGAATAGAATAGAATATAAAGAAAATATAACTAGAAAAAATTCCACGCGGACCAGGCAACAGACGGGACTCTAACCCGCACCCTTCGCAATACGGGCGAATGCACTGACCCATTATGCTACCGCGGCCCTGTCGGCCGCGTCGAGATTCTTCTAGCCATTCTTAAGCTGCAAGGCAGCGCCATCTCTTCGCATTATAGGTAACCCACAATGTCAAATGTATACTTTTACAAGTATTAAACATTTGAAAGAAGAAATAGCAATTATAGTTATAATTTTTATTTTTTAAGCATGTTACTGCTTGGTGTTTAAATCTGAAGAAAGTATAACTAGAAAAAATTTCACGCGGACCAGGCAGCAGATGGGACTCGAACCAGCACATCTTCGCAATCCAGGCGAATGCACTGACCAAATTATTACTAGAATATAATATACTAGCAAACCAGTGAACCAAATGTTCACCAAAACCTGATTTCTCGAAAACCGGAAGTGCTACGTTACTCAAATCCGGTTTGTAGTCTTATCAGGCTATTCTTAACTTATAACTTAAATATTCTCTTTATCTATCTCTTACGGTTTGGCCGCTGAAACAGCACCACAGACAGACGGACTTGTCTAATAGATAAGAGATTTTATTAACCCTCATTTACACATTTATAGATACAAATTCAAAAAAGTCAGGGCTAACCAGGATTCTGCCTCAGCATTAGCTGATGCGATATTATGCGACATACTTATATATTTTTTTATATTTTTGTAACATAGTATCCATGTGTGGTTATGAGTAGTCATGCTCTCTTGAAAATCTCTTCGGTGGTGTCGTGTGAGGCGGGTCGTTGCGTTCCCTAAAAATGGTTGAACGAAGCGATGGCTGGTTCATGCGTCATGCTCGTGAACGGGTGCTGCCAGCTTAGATGAGTCTGCTCTTGCTTCATTGGGTACTATTAATCGTTGTACTAAACTTATAATCATTCATTTTTTTTGCCTACACTGTAGGACACGTCATTCCTAAACTTTGTTAAACCAGTTTTTTGTATATTTTTTTATTTTATAGTCATAACTTTTATATTATTTGCATTTGTAATGGAAAGTGACTTTATGAGTTATCTCATATTGAAGTCATTTTTCAATTTGATGACTCTGTATGTACAGGGAGAATAAAACAGCCCTTTCTGAGTTTCTTGCTGGTTCTTCTCAGTACAAGATCTCCCGCTATAGATTTGTGAACCAATACGTAACTTTTCGACATTCACAAGTGCTTGTAACAGCCTAGACTGAATAAACGATATTGAATTTTTAATTGAATTTTTTTGAATTTTTATGTTTAACAGCACTGGGCTGTTATTCTGGCAGGGCCTGTTAGTGACACAAAAAGACAATCATGTAAAAAAACATTACTTGAAAGGATGTATGGGCGTAGCATACATTGCTTTCAAGTGTTAATAAATATTAAAAAAAAGTGATGAATGAAAGGAAAGGGCTAAGGAGCTGGTGGATAGAGTGAGTGGAAGAGATATAGAGATGGAATGGGCTAAGATTTCCTCATAAACAGAGATAATCCGCGCAATCTCCCAATGCCATCCATAGGGAAGGCCTGTGCCCCAGCAGTGGTGACATTAATAGGCTGATGAAGATGATGACAGTGCAACTTAATTTAACGAAGAACCAAATTAAAAGGCACAGTTGTCTGGTACAACTAGTAAACTAAAATATGTTGTTACAATAGGAATTATATTTTTTCAGCAGTAGCGGAAATCCGAGTGCTGTAACAATCGAATTTAGAACCCAGTGTTTATTTTTTTATTTCGCTGCGTATGATCACAGTATGCAGTGTCGGCAGGTCCAATTTTAAAAAATTGGGAGGCATTATAGATAGAAACAGTTGATGTATGGCAGTGTTGCCAGGTCCGATTTTTAAAGATCGGGAGGTGTTATAGAAAAAAACAGTAGATGTATGGAAACAGCTACAAGAAAAACAGTAGATGCAGAGGTGTACTTTTTCCGGTTTGCACCCCCCCCCCCCCAGAATTGGTAAATCAAATCAAATCAAGATAAAGACCAGTAACGAATGTGTTTCTGTGGCTTCTGCCGCCCCTCAAAGCTATTTGTGCTTTAGACAATTACATTTATTTTATAATTATTAAGGTTATCTACATTATTAATGACGAAAAATGCAACTCAACATGCAATTTAAAAAAGAAAATCGTATTCTAAAAAAAACAGGAGATTCATGTAGAAAAACAGTAGAACAGGAGAAATTTCAGAAAATCAGGAGATCTCCTGTAAAATCTGGAGACCTGGCAACACTGATGTATGGAAAGAGCTACAAGAAAAAATAGATGCACATGAGTAATTTTTCCGATTCGCACCCCCCTAGAATTGGTAAAACAAATCAAGGTATAGGCCAGTAGCAAATGTGTTTCTGTTGCTTCTGCCGCCACTCAAAGCTCATTTTTTTATAATAGGGTATTTGACAGTATTAAAAATAAAATACCAATTGTTGGCATCTGTGTTTAGAATGAATATTGGCAGGGGTTTTTACTATTTTTACAAAAAAAAATATTCATAATTTTACTAAAAACCCACGAAAAGGATAATAGTTTTCTTTTCTATTGTCACGTGACCCAAACCGCTTGGGATTGGCGGAGCCTAAAATGACATCACACGCAAGTAAATTTCCGGTTAAAGTGACATTACATTGTATCGTTTGACGTTTTAACACCAGTCGTGTGACGTCACACACTAGTAAGACGCCATATTATCCAGAGAAAGGTTTTCACGGCAACTTGAAAATGGAGTTTTTGATTTGGTTATTTTTACTGAAATACACAACAGATTGATAAATATATCCACTTTTTACGGACTCCATAAGCATTAGTCAATAACGTGAGATCGTTTTCTAAAACTTGTCAAAAACCCTATTATGGTTACCTACATTCTTAATGGCGGAAAACGAAACTGAACATGCAATTTAAAAAAGATAATCGTATTCTAAAAAATACAGAAGATTCATTCAAAGAAAAAATATTGTTCACAGAAAGCTGACATTGCCGTGGCTTCGATGACCATCAACTACGCTAGAGAAGCGGTCATAGACTTCACTAAACCATTCATGAACCTCGGCATCGGTATATTGTTTAAGGTAATAAACATAATTTATATTATTATATTATACTAGTGGCCCGCCCTCGCTTTGCTTCGGTGTAGAGCTGTAGTGTAGACTATATTTTTTGTTCCAAGGCTTGTATTAGACACAATGACTTTCTTAACAATAATTATAAATCATAATAATTCCAAGTAAAAAATTCGTCCTAAGTAGGTGGCAAAGTAGTGGCATTCCGTATGCGATTGTGAAAGCTAAGCAACTTTTCCAATGGCCAGGCATAGGATGGGTGACCAAAAAATTACCATATCTCGCTCCCCCGTGCTTCGGAAGGCACGTTAAGCCGTCGGTCCCGGCTGCATCTGCAGTCGTAAGCACCCACCAAATAATACCTGCGTGGTGTGTCACGGCTTATTTTTTGAGTGTGTATGCTGTTGGTCGCAGATGACCTTTACAGCGTCACCGGGTTTGCGGAAGGCGAGATCCTAAGGGGACCTCAAGCCGAGAATTGACGAGTGCCTCTAGAGGTATTCCAGGCGAATGGCATCTCCCCACGGGGGAGTCTCCTCTCCGTCTGGAGCCTCTAGATCACTCGAACCTGAGGGGGTCAGCTCAACTAGAGAGCGCCTCTGAGACTCGGACCTCGGCTCTAGTTAGCCGTTGTCGTGGGGGATGGGTCACGGCCTTAGAGAGGCCTGTGCACCCGCAGTGGGGACGTTAATAGGCTGATGATGATGATTAAATAACGGTTTCTTCTTTCTTCTAACAGGTGCCTACATCACAGCCTACCAGATTATTCAGCTTCCTAAATCCCTTGGCCATCGAGATTTGGCTGTACGTCTTGGCGGCGTATATTCTCGTCTCTTTCACGCTGTTCGTAATGGCGAGGTTTTCACCATACGAATGGTATGTATGTTATGCACCAACATTATAATATACCACCACACATAGATTTGCCACTGGAAATTATTGAAATTACCAATAATTAACTCAATGAAAACTTTGAGGAATATTCCTATTTTCAGGAAATATTGGATTGTTTCTCGAAAAATTATGAAAAATATTGGGAATATTCCCTGCGTTGTTTCCACTAAAATTGCGATATTCTGCGGGAATGTCAAATAACTAGTTTTACTTACAACTGCTAAAATACCTTTTACACCTAACCAGTATTTAATTTTTTACGTGCAATATACGTATACTATTACCAATTTGCAGCAATTTTTCTGAATCTCAATTTAATAAAAACTACAGTTACAACATAGAAAAATGAGAAAAATGTTAAGGCGTCTTTGAGGTTATTGTTAAAACTTAATCTAGTTCAAATTAAATCAAGATTTAGCTAAATAGCTGCAAGTTTATCCTTTGATTTGATCAAACTTTTGCAGATATTTTTTTGTCGTATGCGCATACAATAGCATTATGCCATCTTCCAGGTCTTCCAGCACTCACGTTTGCGGGCACGAAACCAGAATCCTCACGAACCAATTCAGCGTGTGCAACTCCTTTTGGTTCATAACGGGCACCTTCTTGAGGCAGGGGTCTGGATTGAATCCGAAGGTACGTGAAGGTTCAAGCTCAAACTTACAGTAATCTATGACACATTTATAGTCCATCAAACATTAAGAATAAATAAAGTTTCAACAGAGATTTATTTATTTATGACGTTTAGCATTCTTTTCAGGCTGCGTCGTCAGAATAGGGTATTTGACAAGTTTTAGAAAACGATCTCACGCTATTTACTAATGTTTATAGAGTCCATAAAAAGTAGATATTCATCATTATGTTGTGTATTTACTAAATCAAAAACTCTATTTTCAATTTGAAGCGAAAAACGTATCTCTGGACAATTAGGCGCCTTACTGGTGTGTGACGTCACACGACTGTCATTAAAACTTCAAATAATACAATCTAATGTCACTTTAACCGGAAGTTTACTTGCGTGTGACGTCATTTTAGGCTCCACCAATCCAAAGCGTTTTGGGTCACATGACAATAGACAAGAAAACTATTAACTTTATCGTGGGTTTTTAGTAAAATTATGAATATTTTTCCTGTAAAAATAGTAAAAATTTCTGCCAATATTCATTCTAAATACAGATAACTAACTAACAATTGGCACTTCATTTTTAATACTGTCAAATACCCTATTGGAAAGCCTCAAAAGGATGCGAAACGTCATAAATAAATAAATCAGTGCATATCTAGGCCGTTGAAACTTATTTAATTTCATGAGTGGTGTGCGTGAAAACCTAAGAAACAAATATATTGGTAATACTTTCACGCGTGACAGATTTTGATGAATCATGGCGTGAAGATACTTTACAATAGGGTATTTGACAAGTTTTTACAAAAGGATCTCACGTTATTTACTAATGTTTATGGAGTCCATCAAAAGTGGATATATTTAATCATGTTGTGTAATTAAATAAATAAAATAATAAATATTTCCAACACTCACACCAATTAGCCTAGTCCCAAAGTAAGCACTATAAGGCTTGTATTATGGGATACTAGGGTAACGGATAGAATACATATACTGTACATATATAAGTATATTTATATAGAAATACATATGAAACATCCATGACTGGAGTACAAATGCTCGTGTTCATCACACAAACATCTGTCCCCACCGGGATTCGAACCCGGGGCCTCTCGAGTTGGCGACACCATGAAACGTGCCGTATAAACCACTCGGCCACTGAGGTCAAATTCAGTAAAAAAAAAGTATATTTGAAATTGAATTTTCATGTTGCCGCGGAAACGTTTGCCTGGACATTATGGCGTCTTACTAGTATATGACGTCACACAACTGACATTGAAACGTAAAACGATACAATGTAATGTCCCTTTGACCGTAAGTTTACTAGCGTGTGACGTCATTTTAGTTTTTGTACCGGCTGCACCTGCAGTCGTTAGCACCCACCAATCCGCACTGGGCCTACGTGGTGGGTCCTGGCCCAATCTCCCTATTCCACCCAAAAGGAAGGCCTGTGCACCAGCAGTGGGGCATTAATAGGCTGATGATAAATAATAAAAATGAAAACTTGTTTCTAGGCGACATCTACTCGCATAGTGGGCGGCATCTGGTGGTTCTTCACCCTCATTATATTGTCTTCATACACCGCTAACTTGGCCGCGTTTCTAACGGTCGAACGGACCGTGTTGCCGATACAGAGCGCGGCCGACTTGGCGGCGCAAAACGCCGTGCAGTACGGAACGCTCAATGGAGGGTCGACAATGACGTTCTTTCGGGTAAGTACATAATCTAAATGTATACCTAAAAGAGAAAACTGGGCGGCTGACTGACTGACTGACAGTTTCCTCTTTTAGATATACATCCCAAACCGTTGGGTCTGGAGACTCCAAATTTGGCAGGTTGCTTATGAGGTCAAGGGATGTATTAAGAAAGGGTTTTTCAAAGTTGACCCCCGGAGGTTTTTAAAAAGGGGATAAATCGACCTATGCATAGAATAAAGTTACATAATGAAAATGTTATCAAATTGCTTTTATTGTAGTTTTAGGCGAAACGGACGCATATATTTTACTGGTAAAAACATTTATTCTAAAACTTTGGATTTTGGCTCTATATTCTTCTTGTTTCCGAAGAATATAGAGCCAAAATCACGGCTTCAATTTTGTTATAAGCTGAGACTTTTAACTTAATGTTTGATTCTATTTTTCTTGTTTGATCGATTTTGCCGAATCTTCGACATATTATCATAATGTGACGCGACAGAACATATAAATTACGTAAAACAAAGTTTTATCTACACATAATATTCCCAAGCCTAAGGTCTGATATGCATATATCAATAAAGATGTCCGTAGTAAATTGTCACATAATCACATAAGATACTCTTAAATAACAAAATATGAGCCGTAAATGTAGTTTTTTTTATCAATAATAATGCGTCATAATTTGCTTCTTAATCTACTATATAAAAATAAGTCGGGTTTTCCTTCCTGACGCTATAACTCCAGAACGCACGAACCTATTTCCACGGTTTTGCATTCGTTGGAAAGGTCTCGGGCTCCGTGGGGTTTATAGCAAAGAAAATTCAGGAAATTATAAAAAAAAATCTTCTTTTAATCACCAAACGAAATATAACATAATAATAAAATATAACATAAAAAGAAGCCATCTGGTGGCGAAACGGAGTTCGCCGGGTTTGCTAGTGTTTTATATGATTGGTAAAAAAAACAAATGCTAGAAAAATACCAATACAAGTTACAGCATATTTTACATCTTACAAACTTAAAATCGCTCAACTGTAAAGTTGGGATTATGCAGAAGTATTTTTTTTATCCTATGGATAGGTCGAAATGATGAATAGGCTAGTTGACTCATGTCAAAATGCAAATGTTTATTTCTTATAATTTTTGGTATGAGGAACCTAAATACATCGATTTCACTTCATAAAATTACAAGATGGCTGTAGTAATTTAATTTGAAAAATAGTTTTTTAGTCTATGCTTTTTAAACACTAAAAACGCTGTCCACCATGATTGTGACGTCAACATATTAGCAAACAACTAAACGTCATTGTCGTGTTACTTTGTGTAACTGTGGTTTCTTTCGTCCGACTAAAATATATCTAAAAACTCTTTATATCTTTAAGAAAAGTTTCCGTTTTTTGGTTTTCTTAACTAAATTAATGCTTGACGCCGGATTTGTGAAAGCAGAAACGACAAAACTCTTTGACTTAGCAGGTACATTCATAACCTTTAAAATTTAAACCACAACATTTCTGGAGTTTTTAACGATGTGTTTCTTTATTTTCGTATAATACAATCATGATATTTACTATATTTATCATGAAATCTATTAGGAATCGTGGTTTTGTAATGTAAATTCAGATAGGTTATATCCTACGTGCTTGCGAGTGTTTGTTTACTATTATTCCCGTCATACCATAGATAATCTATAGACTAAAATGGCCGGCAGCGTTTTTGTATGTCCATGAAAAATCTATTTTAAAATTAAAGTTTTGTAGCTTTCTAGGTAAAAAAAAAAAATACAAAACATTTTTTTTCGGTCTAATTGAACAATTATTAACCATTTAAAACATATTTCCAAAAAGTGTCTACTAGCCTATTCGTGTTAACGACTAAGTGTAAATTAACGGAGTCGAGTTCGCCTGTATACGGGTAGATTTCCTTTTGTTTACCCGATACCGTCTTCCAGTCCGTATTCCAGTGTAAATATTGCTTCGGGTGCCCGAATTCGAGTAATGTCTTGCATGCACCCGAATAATAATAAACCCGGGCTAACCAACAAATGTAATAGGGTATTTGACAAGTTTTAGAAAACGATTTCCCGTTATTGACTAATACTTATGGAGTCCGTAAAAAGTGGATATTCATCATTCTGTTGTGTATTTCAGGAAAAATAACCAAATCAAAAACTCCATTTTCAAGTTGCCGCGAAAACGTTTCTCTGGACAATATGGCGTCTTACTAGTGTGTGACGTCACACGATTGTTATTAAAACGTCAAACGATAGAATGAAATGTCACTTTAACCGGAAGTTTACTTGCGTGTGACGTCATTTTAGGCTTAGCCAATCCCAAGCGTTTTGGGTCACGTGACAATAGATAAGAAAACTATTACCTTTGCGTGGGTTTTTAGTAAAATTATGAATATTTTGTTTGTAAAAATAGTAATAATCCCTGCCAATATTCATTCTAAACACAGTGGCTAACAATTGGCACTTTATTTTTAATACTGTCAAATACCCTATTGCGGCATAAGTTTAAAATATATTTATTTATTATTTCACCAGGACTCCAACATAGACATCTACCAGAAGATGTGGCAGCACATGTCTACAGCATCCCCCCCGGCACTCGTGTCTTCATACGAGGAGGGTGTGAGGAGAGTTTTGGGGGGAAACTATGCCTTCTTAATGGAGTCCACCATGTTGGACCATAGAGTACAGAGGGATTGTAACCTGACACAGATTGGGGGACTGCTGGACTCTAAGGTAACTTTTTTCATTTCATTTCAAAAGTGTTTATTTAATAAAATTTTAAAACCATAAATACATTGAGCATTTATTACTTACAATATTTATGTTGAAACATGCATTCCGGTACATTACTTTTCCAGACTAATTGCCTATATAAGTATACATACTACACACTATAAAAAAAAGAAATCATGTGGTGTCGTGGGACACCAGGTAGGAACGAAGTTCCTTCGGCTAATGTAGAATCGACACAAATTGCAAACTCGCTTGTGTATGCGACTGTCGCGCCTGCGCACGTCTCATTTAACGGTTTTATTCTACGCACTTTTTTCCACGGATTTTTTCTTACGGTTTTACTATCACATTTTTTTCAGTTCGGTCGCGCAGCAAAATCCCTATCCCCTCCAAGCCTGCCATAAGGAACTTCGTTCCAATATTATATCATAAATTAGTGTAACTTATTTAAATTATAATTTTAAGATAACTATGAACACACTTATAAATTGTTCACTTATAACATGATTCTAAATGTAGGTAGGTAGAAAAAAAAATATATATTACAAGATATTTAACTACATAATAGCATGCAGCATGAGCCGCCCTGCCCCCCGCGTTACTATCGCCACAGGGCGACAGAGGGGAGTTACCAGCAACGCTCAAAGTTTATCACGGTGGACAATTAACTCACACAATATTCGAGTTGCACTCGTCGTCACAAAACAATAGATAGTGATGTGGTAATCGATATGTACCGTATCTATCGACATATGGCAGATCGCATAATCTAGATTGACCAATTTTGCTTATTAGGTAATTTTTCTTCGTTTATCAGGTAGATTATCAAAAAGTATTGGACACGTATTTTTTCTTTTTTCACATAATATAAACATTGCAGAGATATATTGATTTGAAAAGTCGCATGACGTCACGTTTGAGTACACTTATAATGGAAAATTCACTCAAAAGTGACGTCACGAGCCCCTACTCCCAAACTTTGACGCGCTATAACTTTGTAATTTTTTGGTTGATTGCCCAAAGAAAAAATACGTGTCCATTATTTTTTGATCATCTAACTGACGGACTAAATAGAATTTCGTTTACTGTACCCCGTCATCACCCCTATTAGGATTAAGAGCGTTCTTATAATAAAAACCTTTAGTCAATTTTAAAATAAATTCTTTCAATGTAGGAAATTTTATTTTTACATGTAATAAATACCTTTAAGTTCGTTCGGAATACTGTATTTAAGGCAATCTTAATGGCTTTGTTTTGTACAACTTGTAATTCTAAAGTAAGTGGAATCATCATCATCATCCTATTCATATACCCACTGCTGTGGCACAGGCCTTTCCTGTGGATGGGATAGGGAGAAACCACACGGGCCCAGTGTTGGCAACATAAATCATTTAAAAAATAAAATATTTGTTGCTCTGGTAACACCAGTTTCCGTTTCCCTCTCTCGATGATGGCGCAGCCTCTGTAATTGTGAGTCCGAAAAACTATATTCCAATTTTATTACAAATAGCGGGTTTTCCTCAGCGAGAATCCCACGCCACCGCAACACCCAGTGCGGATTTTTGTGTGTTAATGGCAGCCGGAACAAACTGCTTAACGTTCCTTCCGAAGCGCTGAGCAGTGAGAGATACATTTTTGGTCGCCCACCTAATGATTGGCTATTGCAATTGTTGCTTAACTTCAATGCTTTCAGACCGAATGCGCCAAATATTGCGTCATCGAGCTAGCTAGGTAGCAAAGGAGAATATTTTAAGTTAATTATATTTTTATTGAGAGCGGAGCGGAGAGCACAGGTTCGTTCCTAATGGAAATCCCTTGAGGAGGCCCATGTCCAACAGTGGACGTCCACCGGCTGATGATGATGATATTTTTATTTAAAAATGGCGGCACATAAGCGGTCGTTATGACATATAGTCACTTGCGATGCCAGAGTATCACTCACGGACCACAGATAGCCCTAGTACTTTCTTTGGGGCTAAGCTCATTGGTATCTGTTACAAATATTTATTTATTGAAGTTATACTTCTTTAGGCGCGTTATGAAAAAATGATGAGAGTGAAATTTTAAGATGCGCGCGCATCACTGTAACACAAAAAATTAACAGCATGAAGTTGGTCGCTAAAGCGACCTACTTTTGTGTTTACCGCACATTAAGAAAATCTACCAACAAAATAGAAATAGAATCTCTATTTTGTGGGTGCTAACGACTGCATTGTGAAGGCCTATCAAAAGTATTTATTAATCTGGAACAACGGAACCAAAGCGCGATTCAGGAGACTACAGCGCCATCTCTTGACCATTGGTGTAGTAGAACCAAAAACCACATCTTTATTTTTTGTAATAAAGTAACAAAAAGTATTTATTAATCTGGAACAACGGAACCAAGGCGCGATTCAGGAGACTACAGCGCCATCTCTTGACCATTGGTGTAGTAGAACCAAAAACCACATCTTTATGTTTTGTAATAAAGTAACAGTTATAGGTATTCATATTTATAATATTTATCCACATGTTTCTAGTTTGTATACTCGGAATACGTGTTTGAGTTTCATAGAAGTGCAAATCACATATGTTCTAATAAATTATATTCAGTAGCGATTTTAATTGAATATTTTGATTATTTATTTATTTTTTCAAATTAAAACTGAACTTTATTGACTGTGTCCTTTTCCAGACTTTTTATTAATTTATTGTAATTAAATATTTGCATGCAATTAAAAACTAATTTTAAACGATGCCAAAGAAGGATAACTTCTCACGCGCCTACATAAGTACACGCACCCATTTTTTTATTATTATTTGTCTTTCCAGGGTTACGGTATAGCGACTTGGAAAGGCAGTCCGTGGCGGGACAAGATATCCCTCGCCATTCTCGAGTTGCAGGAGAAGGGGGTCATCCAGATCCTCTATGACAAGTGGTGGAAGAACACGGGCGACGTGTGCAACAGAGACGGGAAGGATAGCAAGGCCAATCCTTTAGGAGTTCAGAATATAGGTAAGAATATACAGATCTTCTACCACAAGTGATGGAAGAATACGAAGGACGTATGCAACAGGGACGAGAAGGATAGCAAGGCAAATCCATTGGGGAGTTCAGAGTATAGGTAAGAATCTGCAGAACCTCTAGCAAATGTGGTGGAAGAACGCCGGGGATGTATGCAACAGGGACCAGAAGGATATCAAGGCCATTCCGTTGGGTGTTCAGAATAAAGGTGTGAATACAGATCTTCCATGACAAGTGGTGAAAGAACACGGGGGACGTGTGCAATAGGAACGTGAATGATAACAAGGCCAATCCTTTCAGAGTTCAGAATATAGGTGAGAATATACAAAAGGTTTTATTTGATTAGAAAGCCGCAGATCTTCTAAGATAACTGGTATAAGAATACGGGGGACGTGTGCAATAGCGACGGGAGGATAAGCAAGGCCAACCCTTTAGGAGTTCAAAGTATAGGTAAGAATATACAGATATTCTTCCACAAGCGGCGGAACAATACGGAAGACTTGTACAATGTGGACGGTAGGAAAAGCAAGGTCAATCCTTTAGGAGTTCAAAATATAGGTAAGAATATACAGATCTTTTACCACAAGGGGTGGAAGAATACGAGCATACATCCCGTATGCAACAGAGACTGGAAGGATAGCAAGGCGATTCCTTGAGGAGTTCAGAATATTGGTAAGGGAATGTCCCTGTTTTTTAAGTATTTTTCAGCCAAAGATGATGATTGTCGTTACAATCAAAAAACCTCCTTTAGGAGTTCAGAAAATAAGTGGAAATATTCTGAGAATTATCGAAGCATTGATTAACTGTGGAGAAGTTTTCTCGGAACGAAGTTCCTTAATGCATGGTACGACTTGGCAGATGCCATGCCATGCAGATGGGGCTAGGCGAAAAAAAAGTGTTAGATTTTTCCGCCACGACCGTCAGTTGTTTTGTAGCGTATTCAAGAAAGAAAGAAAGAAAGAAAAAGCTTTTATTGACCTTACACAAGTATGTAAAAAAAAAAACAATAAACATAGCAGCAAAAATAAAATAACAACAGTGAGCAACAATATGGAGAGAGAAAAGGCCAATCAGGACCCTGCCTCAGCTTAATGCTGTTATAGTAGGAATGGAATATTCCCACCATAACAGCGCTGGTATTCTGGCAGGGTATTGTGTTATGTAATGTATTGTTAAAAATATCCTTCCCACGCGGTACGGATTGGAGATTTCCAATCCGTACCGCGTGGTGGAACATGGCCCAAGCCAACGATTCCGTCAAACTATTAAACAAAACTTTAAAGTCTTAAAACTTAAAGTCCACAACCGCGGCTTTCAGTGGTCACCCACCTTGCTGCCCATATAGGTTGTGGTTCAATTTTTCGCTCATCCACCATATCGTCCGAAGAGGAACTTCATTGAAAAAAGTGTCGCAGCAATCATTTGGCCATTCGATAGTATAATTCAAGAGGAGCTCGATGGCGCAAGTGGTTAGCACGTTCGGCTGCGATCGTTGAAGTTAAGCAACTTTCGCAGTGGTCGGTCATTGGATGGGTGATCAAAAATTTACTATCTCGAGCTCCTCCGTGCTTCGGAAGGCACGTTAAGCTGTTGTCCCGGCTGCATCTGCAGTCGTTAGCATCCACCAATCCGCACTGGGCCCGCGTGGTGGGTCATGGCCCAATCTCCCTATTCCATCCATAGGGAAGGCCTGTGCATAGTATAATTACATTGGGAAATAGTTACAATACTGATAGGCTTTGATATTGCTATTAATATATGAATAACTCTATTTGTATTTATACTGTGTGACACAGCAATCAAAATGCAGGTGAACAATTAATGTATAATTTCACATTATGTAAAGAAAGGTGACTTCATGAATCATCTCTGAAGTCATATTTCAACTTGACGACTCTGTATATAAAACAGGGAGAAAAAAAACAGCCCTTGCTGAGTTTCTTGCCGGTTCTTCTCAGTACAAGGTCTCCCGCCGTAGATTTACGAACCGATGGCGTAGCTTCTAGACATTCATGAGTGCTTGTAACAGCCTGAACTGAATAAATGATTTTGATTATGATTGAATAATAATATTATTCCTTTATCGTAGGCGGTGTTTTCGTGACATTGCTATGTGGACTGGCCTTAGCCATCATGGTGGCGATCTTGGAGTTCTGCTGGAATACAAGGAAGAACGCTTCACAAGATCGTCAGTCATTGTGCAGCGAAATGGGACAGGTGAGTTATGAGTAACATAGTATAGAGTTTAAAGAAAATATAACTAGAAACAAATTCAACGCGGACTAGGCAGCAGACGGGACTCGAATCCGCATCCTTCGCTATCCGGGCGAATGCACTGACTAATTATGCTACCGCGGCCCTGATGGCCGTGTAGAGTTCTTACTAGCCTTTCTTAAGCAGCAAGGCAGCGCCATTACTTCGCATTGTAAGTAACCCACAATCTCGAATGAATACCTTTACAAGTATTAAAGATTTGAAATAAGAAATAGCAATTATAGCTGTTATAATAGGGTTTTGGTGCAGATTCGAGGCCCATCTGCTGCCTGGTCTGCGTGGAATTTTTTCCAGTTATATTTTCTTTAGATTTAAACATCGAGCAGTTACATGCTTAGAAAATCATCATCTTTCATCTTTCACTTTGAAAATTCCTGATTTATTCATCACTCCACTGCGAGAAGCTGTAGCACGAAAGCGTAATTTTAGAAGAGCCGATTATAACAGCTTAAATGTATTTTTCACAGAGCAAGATTGGCAATCACTTCTATCTACGGGTACGGTTGATGAAGCTGTTAACCATATGTATAGGGTTATACAAAATGGTACTGACTTGTACGTCCCGCTCAGTAATACATCTGGCAAAAGATCGTATCCAAAATGGTACACGCCAGCCTTAGTAAATATAATTAAAGAAAAATTTAAAGCCCACAAGAGATGGAAAAAGTTTGGCAATCGATTAGACTATGACGAGTTTTCACTATTGCGGTCAAAGGAACGTCAAATTCAGAAAGAATGTTTTGCAAAATTTACTTCGATTTGTGAATCTAATATTAAAAAACACCCTAAAACATTATGGACTTTCGTAAAAGCCTTGCGAGGTGGATCAGCATACCCGAAGTGCCTCAACTTAAACGGTGTTGAGTACACAGAAGGTAAAGGAATATGTGACGCCTTTAATTCCTTTTTCAAGAGTGTATTTGGAGTCCCCGGTGATCCTAAAATTCACTCTTCGGATGACGCAAATCCATTGAATATAAACGTGGCTTCTAACTTGCAAACTACTACAACGGAGGTAGAAAAAATGTTAAAAAAATTGGATAGAGCTAAAAGTGCTGGTAGTGATGGTCTGCCCCTCTGTTTTGGTTTAATTGCGCGGAAACTTTAGCAATTCCGTTAACATTAATATTTAATCGCTCTCTACGTGAAGGTGACTTTCCCCAACTCTGGAGATCGGCTCATATAGTCCCAATCCATAAAAAAGGCTCGCGATCAGATATTACAAACTACAGAGGAATATCCATTTTAAATACAGTGTCAAAAATACTCGAACTCATTGTTTATAATCAAATTTATCCTATACTGTCTGGATTAATTCCTGATCAGCAGCACGGATTCCTCAAAGGGAGGTCCACCACTTCTAATATGGCTTGTTTCACAAATTTTGTGCTCGAAAATATGGATCGGGGTGGACAGGTTGACGTGATCTACACGGATTTCGAGAAGGCGTTCGATCGTGTAGATCACGTGATCTTGTTGAACAAGCTACAAGCTCTCGGAATCCATGGCGATTTGCTTCGATGGACAAAATCCTACCTTTCGAACCGATCGCAGGCAGTAGTAATGGGTGGATATCGTTCTGACTTCATTCAAGTACCCACCGGCGTTCCGCAGGGATCTCACCTGGGTCCCCTCTTTTACAACGCCTATTTGTATGATATTGGGTCCTGTTTAAGTAACTCCCATTATTTGATGTATGCAGATGACACAAAAATATACTGTAAAATTACAAGTAATGGTGATTGTCTTTCAATACAAAGGGAACTCAACAACTTAATGGAATATTACATCAACAATAAAATAACGGTCAACACTAGCAAATGCGAATGTATAACATTTACGCGTAAAGTCAAACCTTTAATTTACAATTATAATTTCAATATTGAGCTGATAAACAGAACTCAAATTGTCAAAGACCTTGGAGTACTGTTAGATCAAAAAATAATTTTGTCTGATCACATTGACCACATATCAAACAAAGCCTTTAAAAGTTTGGGATTCGTAATGCGTGTGTGTAAACCCTTTAAAAATGTATCAACCATTAAGTCAATATATTTTGCATATGTCAGAAGCGTCTTGGATTACGCATGCTCTATTTGGTCTCCTCAATACATTATTTATAAAAGTCATATCGAGAAAATACAAAAAATCTTTGTCAACCATCTCAATTATCAGCCTTCAGTCAGCTTCGGAAGGCACGTACTATCCTATCTTTATTTGCTAAAAACACTGTATGAAGGTATTGTAAAAAGTTAATTGAGAACTTGTTTTGTCATTTCAAAAATAGCATGCAAGTAGGAAAAAACGAATTAATTATTTCTACAAATTTATGAATGTCAGAGTTACCTATTATTATGTCAATAAACAATAAGCAACTTTCGCAGTGGTCGGCCATTGGGTTGGTGACCCAAAAATTTACTATCTCGAGTTCCTCCGTGCTTCGGAAGGCACGTTAAGCTGTTGGTCCCGGCTCCATCTGCAGTCGTTAGCGCCCGCCAATCCGCACTGGGCCCGCGTGGTGGTTCATGGCCCCATCTTCGTATTCCATCCATAGGGAAGGCCTATGCCCCAGCAGTGGGAACATTAATGGGCCGGGTACTGGTATGGGATGCAACCTGTTCAGACACGCTGGCCCCTTCCCATCTACATGGAGCCAACAATAGAGCTGGTGCGGCTTGTGAAGCGGCTGAAAAAGCTAAGGCATGCAAATACAGGGGTCTAGGCTCCGAATATGATTTTGTCCCATTCGGTGTCGAGACCCTTGGTCCGTGGGGTCCTAGCGCTATGAGGTTTTTTTAGGAAATATCAAAAAGATTAGTCGACGTCACTGGAGACCGAAGAGCTGGCAGCTACCTCGGACAACGAATTAGTCTAGCTATTCAAAGGGGTAACGCTGTCAGTATCTTCGGAACTTTGCCTAAAGGGACTCCTTTTAGTAATATATTTTAGTAATTATATTATATTTTAGGTTTTTAGTTTAAGGTTCATTGTTCCTGTATGTATTAATGTACATATATATAAATTTAATTATATTATAGGCTGATGATGATTATTATATTGTAGACTTGCAACGAATATTCGGTTATTATTCGGTATTCGGCCTAACCGGCTGCTTTTATTATATTCGGCCAAATACCGAATATCTTACATATTATATTTTGTCAAAATTAAAATCGATTGATTACGTATATATTCATATTTTCATTTCTGTTATATAATCATTTAAGTAGTCATTGGTACATAACACAGGTACATAATCATCTTCTGAATTGGAAAAATTTAGGATTCTATGTATTTGAATAATTGTGGTAGGTAATCAAAATTTGAAGGGTAAGGTTCTCATTTCTTTGATAATCATATATTAAGTAGTCATTGGTACATAAAACAGGTACATAATTTAATCATTTTCTGTATTAAACAAGTTAACAGTTTTTAATTCATTCAGTCATGTGATGAATGGTTACATAATAGCAATAATTTAAAGTGTACGCGTCGTTTTTGGTCATATCTCAAAAGTTGGTTTTGTCATTTAGCCGCATTTTAGCTTGAGGACGGCAGATTAGAACAAAACAAAGGAGCGCGAAACAATCGCGTCTGTACAAGTTTTTGGCGCTAAAATCCAGCCGAATACTTTTGCCTAATATTCGGCTATTCGGTCAGGGGCCTCGCCGAATATTCGGTATTCGGTATACTGCCGAATATACTATTCGTTGCAAGTCTATTATATTATATTGGTATCTCTTTGCGCGCAGGAGTTGCGTACAGCCATGCGCGGCGGTTCCTCCACGCGCACAGTATTGCGCGGAGGGTGTTCGCGCTGCTCTCCAGCCGCGCATGTACCCGCGCCCCCTCCACATAGATCTTTACACGATCATCAGGTACATATTTTTCTTTGAGTGTGTATACTGTTGGTCGCAGATGACCTTTACAGCGTAGCGATGCGCTACTTCGAATAATACTAACTAGCAAACCAGTGAACCAAATGTTCACCAAAACCTGATTTAAAAAAAAATGTATTTAATTAATTGAGAACTTCGGAGATTTTGTGTGGTTTCGTTTGAAATTCGTGATTTCTCGAAAACCAGAAGTGCTACGTTACTCAAATCCGGTTTGTAGTCTTATCAGACTATTCTTAACTTATAACTTAAATATTCTCTTTATCTATCTCTTACGGTTTGACCGCTGAAACAGCACCACAGACAGACGGACGGACGGACTTGTCTAATAGATAACAGATACTAATCATTCGACTCCACGAATCATTTGACTAAAGCCAGAAACATATTAATTAACGTGTCGTGGCGTGACGTGCGCATCGGTTTCATACATTTATTATCGGTTAGAGAGAGATAGAGAGGTTAAAGCGTCGAAAGAAAGAAAGAAAGAAATTGTTTATTGACCATAAAAAATCGACACGACACGATACGTTAATATGTCTCTAACCATAGTAAATGTATGAAACCGATGTGCTTCTGGCGCGCCACGACACAACACGACACGTTAATATGTTTCTGGCTTTAAGGCCTATTCAGATATAAGCGATAACGCTGTCGCGTTCGGTAGCAATACCGACCGAATCGGTACGCGATATCGCCTAACAGGGCGACGCTGGACGGTGCGCATCCAGCCAGTCCTTCCTTCACTCCCTGCGAGGCGCATCTCACATACACGTATGGCTATTTGTTTTTGCATGGACGAGTTCGAGATCATGCCTTCTCGGGTGAGCCTCACCCCTAGAGAACGCGTCCCCAGGTGGCGGATAGGGGAACGCCTTTCAGACGACTCGCAAGTGTCGTCTGAAGGGTAAGAGTGAAATCAAATAGCTCCCGCGGATCAACAGGCCGGAGAAGGATACTCCGTAATCAAACCCCTGCACAGGGCTTCTCCGACCTATTCGGAGGCGAGGTTTGTGTAGTGCTGGGTGTTTAGGCTGGAGCACCCAGAAGGGATGGTGGCGGAGGAACTCACGTAAGGGGTCAACGGCAGCGCCCACAACTAGACTTAACAGTAAGATACAGCCTTGGCGTCAGGTGACAACCGGCCGTAAAACATAAAGTCAAATCCATTTCTCCTCGTAATCAAATATGATAAAAGGCAAAAATAAGAGAGTGGATACAGCTAGGGCGTACCCCGGAAGCGACGTCAGTGCTAGAGATGTGAAATATACGAACAAAGAAAATCATACTAGGGCGTACCCCGTAAGCGACGTTAAATTAAGACTAGCTACGTGGAACATGGGCACCCTCACTGGAAGAAGTCAAGAACTAGCGAAAATACTGCAGGTACGGAATATCAACATATGCTGCCTGCAAGAGACCAGATGGAAGGGATCGAAGTCCAGGGACCTGGGTCTCGGATACCAACTTCTTTACCATGGGACGACTAACGCAAATAATGGAGTCGGTATCGTACTCGACGAACAACTGAAGCGCCGAATTATAAATGTAGAAAGAAGGAGTGACAGACTTATGGCAGTTAAAATAGCTATGGATAACCAACCACCCTTAAATATAATCTCAGCATATGCGCCACAATCAGGTTGTAGTATTACCGAAAAGGAAAGTTTCTGGGACGACTTTGAAGATCTTCTTAATACGATGGCTCAAGAGGAAACTAAATACATTGGAGGCGACCTAAACGGTCACGTGGGCGACCATAGCACTGCGTATAAAGAAATACATGGGGGTTTTGGATATGGGTCAGGCAACAGTGATGGCGAGCGTATTTTGGAAGTCTGTGCACGATATGACTTGGCAATAGTAAATACATAAGTATTTTATAAAAAAGCCGGAACATCTAATTACGTACAAAAGTGGAAATAAGCAATCATAGATTTCATACTTACTAATAGGAAACTACTAAAAACTTGTAGAGATTGTAAAGTTATACCGGGCGATTCACTAACATCGCAACACAGAATTTTGGTCTGCTGCATAAGGCTACCTAAGCCCATAAAACCTAATTCAGTAAAAATACCAAAAATCAAATGGCACCTATTAAACACTGAAAAAGGAGCCGAAATGATACAAAAGGTGCGGAACATATTGATAAAAGATATGGAAAACAAAAGCGACAGCACAGCAGAAGAAACGTGGTCGAGATTCGAGAAATTATGCCTGAAAGCGGCGGAAGAAACCCTTGGAAAATCAAAAGGGAAGCTTAACATTGACAAAGACCCCTCGTGGTGGAACGAGGAAGTTAAGAATTCTCTAAGGGACAAAAAGGAGTGCTTTAGACGATGGCAGAGCTCAGGGTCAGACGAGGAGCGTGTGCTATATAAAACCACTAAGAAATTCGCCAAACGTACAGTTGCCGAGCAGGGACGAGATGCAAGGGAAAATTTCTATCATAGGTTTGAAAGTGCTACAAACGATCAGGAAATATTTAAGTTGGCAAAACAACGTCATAAGACCAGTTTGGATATTAAAATTAACAAATATATCAAAGACGAAAACGGGCAACTATTAACTGATGATAATAAGATCAATAACCGATGGCACCAGTATTACAAACACCTATTAAACGAGAAATTCCCAAGCCAACCCTTGCAAGCTATCCCGGAAGTAGCTGGACCGCTGAATAACATCGAGGTTAAAGAGGTGGCAGACGCGCTTAAGAAAATGAAGAATCATAAAGCCGTCAGACCAGATAACATACCTGCTGATCTGTGGAAGTTACTGGGACCAATAGCGGTGGGATGGCTGACAAAGATTTTTAATGCAATACTCAAGTCCAGAAAAATTCCCAAAGCTTGGCGCCATAGCTACCTGGTACCATTTTATAAAAATAAGGGAGATGTAAGTAGCTGCAGTAATTACAGAGGTGTCAAGCTAACCTCTCATACTCTCAAAATCTGGGAACGTGTACTTAATAACCGGCTTGCGAGACATACAACCATTTCTAGTAGTCAGTGTGGATTTGCACCGGGAAAGTCCACAACAGACGCAATCCAAACCTTGACGATATTACTGGAAAAACACCGAACCAATAAAGAGGACCTCCACCTTGTGTTCATAGACCTAGAAAAAGCCTTTGATAGAGTACCGCGGGAATTAGTCTGGCAGGCCATGAGAGCGCAAGGAGTCCCAGAACACTATATCGGTTTAGTACAGGACATGTATGAGGACATTAGCACCCAGGTGAGAGGACCAGCGGGGCTAAGCAAACCATTTGAAGTTAGAGTGGGGGTGCATCAAGGATCGGCACTTAGTCCATTTCTGTTCAACCTAGTAATGGAATACTTAACAAAGGGCATCCAATCCCCACTTACCTGGTGCTTGCTGTACGCAGACGATGTCGTTCTGATAGATAAGTCTGCGAGCCAGCTGCAGATCACTCTCCAAAAATGGCAACAAGCGCTAGAAAACCACGGTCTTCGTATTAGTCGCAATAAGACCGAATACATGAAGTGCAGTTTTGGCGATGAGACCGCGCCTGATACCGATATCTCCATCGATGGTCAACCATTACCCAAAGTGACCCATTTCAAATATCTTGGATCGATTCTGTCTGAGAACGCTAAAATAGACTTAGATGTAGCCCATAGAGTCAATGCTGCATGGTTAAGATGGAGAACCCTAACAGGAGTACTCTGCGACAACAGTATGCCAATAAAACTGAAGGGAAAAGTTTACAAAACGGCTGTCAGACCCGCCATGCTATATGGCACTGAATGCTGGGCAATGAAAAAGGCTCACGAAAACAAACTGCACGTAAATGAAATGAAGATGTTGCGTTGGTCGGCTGGTGTAACGAGGCTCGATAAGGTACGCAATGAATACATCAGAGGCTCCTTTAAAGTTGCTCCCATAGGAGATAAGTTGTCGGAAAGACGTATGCGCTGGTTCGGTCATGTAATGAGAAGGGACGAGGAGTACCCAGTAAAGAAGGCCCTAGCGATCCCAGAAAGGAGAAAAGGCAGAGGGCGCCCCTTAGCTACGTGGTGGACAACCGTATCCAAAGACCTGGAACGAGCTCAGCTGGACACAAAGACAACCCAGGATAGACTATCCTGGCGCCTAAAGACGAGGAGAGCCGACCCCAAATGAAGGGATAAGGCAAGGAAGAAGAAGAGTTCGAGATCATGCCGAAATCAAATGAAATAGAAAAAGTTATTGAGTTGGTAAAATCTTATCCAGTGCTATTTGATATGGCTCATCCAGATTACAAAACCATATTTTTGAAAAATTAAATATGGGATGAGATTGCAGGAAAAATAAACATTAGTGGTAAGTTTTTGCATATCTTTAATTACTAACTAACCATTTACCGATCGCGACAGCGAATACCGCTCATGTCGCGATATCGCGTACCGATTCGGTATTGCTACCGAGCGCGACAGCGATATCGCTCATATCTGTATAGGCCTTAAGTCGACTGCGCTTTATATCATTCGACTGGAGTCGAAGGTATCGGGCGGCGCGCATCGCACGTAGTGACATTTGACATTAGTATTACTTATTAGTAATCATTATTCGAATAATGACATTAGTATACTTCTAATTTACCTTTCGAATAGCCAAATTAGTAGTTGCTAATTAGTCGAAAGGTAAAATCATTCGTAGTCGCGCATCGCTATTACAGCGTCTCCGGGTAGTGTTGCCGAAGTATCGATATTCAAACTATCGACAGTTTACATCGAAAACCATGTACCCTATCGATAGGCCTATCGATAGAATCGAGACAACCGATAGTAACGAAACTATCGATAGCACAGAACAAGGCAATACTATCGAATGAGTGCAATACTATAGATACTATTGTAGTTCGTTAATAACAAACTATTGGTAGTATCGATACTGTCGATACTGTTGATTTTATCTGCAACAATACTATCGATAGTATCGATACTAGCGATTGTTTTAGACCATAGTTTGTG